GAAGGTTGCTTCGTGGTGGGTCGCGCGGTCGTGGTTCAGTTGCTTGATCGAGGGGGCCAGCTCGGCGAACGAGGCGATGTGCACGCGGACGTTGTGGCTGTGGGCGAGGAACTCGTGGGCGATCGCGAGGGTCTGGCTGGCTTGGTCTGGTTCACTGTTCGTAACGATGAGGATGTTTGGGAAAGACGTCTTTGAAGATCGGTTTGGAGTAGCCATCGTGAGTTTTTGTTGTTGGTGTTGGATGCGAGATGGTTGATGGGTTGAAGAGGATGAGAAGATGAAGGATGGAGAATCGTGGAGGCTTTATAGCACCATATGGAATGATCCGACGAAGTTTTTTATACGTGGTCAGCGAAGCGAAGAGTCCTCATTCACTTGATTCACCATGTCGTTCCCGTAGTGAATTGGTCCATACACGCATCAACAGATGTGTCAGCTGATCGATGATGCACAACATGTTTGCACGTTTACCGAACTGGGATACTCGGTTCCAGGGACTGAGAAATCGTAAGTGTTCCGATTATCATTAAGTCGATCTATGCTTTTGTCTAGGTATCAACAAATGTCAGAAATATCTATATGCTGGTAGCCTCGAGGGCCGAATTATGCAACGCCTGCTATGCAAGTAGTGTAGATGCAACGTGGGAGCACCCGCCGTTTGCTTCGTCGTAATGAACTCTGCGGCTCTAAAGGTTGAAGGGTGGATTGTGAAGACCGCCAGCCAAGAGCAAGCCCTATCCGACGGCAGAAATGTCAAACCCTCCATTCCAGAATCGGTGCTTGTCGAGCAAACATCCCATGCTGTGGATCGGTACCGTGTCGCTCGTGCGGAGTCAGCTCAGTCTACACAGCCAAAGTAATCACAAGAGATCATCTCTTCGTCCTCAATTCTTCCCCGGCCGCCCACTGATCGAGTTACAAGTATTCACCCGATCGATATCGTACGGATTCTCCTCGTACGTGACCGTCCGCGCCAACGAACGCGCCGACTTGCGCGAAGTCCGCGACGCCCGCGACGCCCGCCGCTCGATGGCCGCCCGTGATGGAATCGTCGACAAGCGATCACTGTCGCTGTCGCTGTCGCTGTCGATCGCCACGCTATCCTCCTCACCAGCCACGGCAGCTACTGGACTGCCTTTCTCCACATCCAGCTTCTCTGTCTCCGCCTGCTTCTGCTGTTGCTGCTGCTGCTGCGCAGCGGCCAACTTCTGCATGAACGCTTCCGCCTGCGCCGCGTACGGACAATGCTTGCGGATGCGCGCGCCATACAGATAGAAGACGATCGGGAACGGAATGCACGCAACCGCCAGGAAGGCCGGGATGGAGGAGGCCCAGTGGATACCCAGGTTCTCGTACATGTAGGTGGTGAAGAGCGGGAAGGCGAAGCCGAAGAGCGAGCGGAGGGCGGAGTTGGCGGCGAGCACGGAGGCGGCGAAGATGGTGTAGGCGTCGATCAGATAATTAAACACACTCAGGAACACCAGCACCAGGCCAAAGCCGAAGGGCGCGCCCGCGGCCACCGAGGCCATCCAGTGGATGGAGGGGTAGTTGGTCCAGGCAAACCAAAACAGGCCCACCGGCAGGGCGATGCCGCCGATGATGCTGGGCGGGAGCCGCACCTCGGGCGCCAGCCGCGTCCCCGCGGGCGCCTCGCGGCAGCGCCGCGCGTACTTCATGTTGTCCGGGAAGGTGTAGGCGACCCCGAACACCATGCCGACCAGGATCCCGAGGAAGGCGAGGCCGCCAATTCCCTCACTCCAGCCGCGCGACTCCTGGAAGACGATCGGGTAGGCGGCGAAGAGCATATACAGCGTCCCGTAGATAATGGCCATATAGATGCAGAACAGGAGGACGATCGGCTCCTTGAAGAGGAGGATCCACGGCCGCGACAGCGCCGTCTTCAGCGTTTGCGACAGCGACACCGGCCCGCGCTCGATGTCCAGCTTGCTGCGGTAGACGTGACCCGTCAGCTCCGACAGCTTGACCGCCCGCTGGCGCAGGAGCACCGGCGCATAGGTCTCCGGCAGCAGGAACACGAGCGACAGCCACACTACTCCCGAGAAGATGGCCATAAAACCTTCAACCCAGCGCCACCCGGCCCCGGCGCCCAGGAACCCACCGATCACGGGCCCGATCGTCGGGCCGCACAGCGGTGCCGCCGCGAACAAGCTGATGGCGATGCCGCGTTTCGAGGCCGGGAACATGTCCGCAATCGTGCCGCCGGAGTTGCCGAAGGGGGAGGAGCCGAAGAAGCCCGCGAAGAACCGCAGGATGACGAGCGTTTGGATGTTCTGGGCACCCGCCGCGCCGGCGTTGAAGGCGGTCAGGATGGCAAAGGTGATGGTGAAGACGTTGCGGCGGCCGAAGACCTCGCTCATGGGCGCCCACAGCAAGGGCCCAAAGGCGAATCCCAGCACAAACAGCGAGATTCCGAGAATCGCAATCTCTTCCTCACACTGGAACTCCTTCACCACTTGACCCATCCCGCCCGAGTACACCGAGGAGACAAGGGCCACCGTCAGCGTGACGAAGGAGACTTGCACCGTGTACAGCCATTTGGTCATGTCCTTGAAGTTCATCGGATTGCGGGGATCATTGGGAATCCAGGTCACCGCGTAGGGCGACTCCTCGGTGCCGGCGCCGTCATAGGGAAAGTCGACGATCTCTGGCGTGACGACTTTCTGGTCGAAGACGAGTTGCCAGTACGGGATTTTCGAGCTCGTGCCCATCATGGCTGAATCGGAGGGTGGCGAGAAGAGCGGAAAAAGAGGATTGGCTCGAGGTTCGACTTTAAGGATGTATCGGATCGGAAAGGTCCGCCAGCATCCTTCCACCTCGTTTGACAGAGAGATGTCGAAGCAACAACAGAATCCAAGCTTCAGAAAAATCAGAAAATCTAGATGAAATGAATAATGCAGCCGATATTTGAGGGTGGAACCTGACACAATCGATTTCAAATTCATGCTGTTTCGGCACCGCTTATCCGTTTAGCAGACAGGCACCGGCCAATCAGCGATGAGGGGGCTGAAAACGTGCCGAGGTAAAATCTCCGCATGCGGATTAGTGCGTGTCGCTTATCTTCAGGCGGTTTCTTTTTGCCGGTCGGCTTTCTTGCCCCATTTGCTGCTACTCATACAGAAGAAGCATGCACGACGCAGGCAGTTCATATTGACAAGTACTGCATATTGATGCACTGATTTTATGCGCTATACCTCACGAGTCTCAACAACACTATATCAATCAGACCTCGATGATCATAACTCATACTGTCCGTGTGAAGATCACGGCTTTTGGATAGTTCTTCTGCTCCTCCTGCGACTTCTCCACGGTCATCAGAAGACAGTTGGTCCGAATATGTAGTTCTACACCGGTCAGCAAATACGTCACCACATCTGAGCGAAGGAGTAGCCTACCCTCAATGTCCAGCTCATATGTAATCTCCTGCGCCTCGTCGCGGTGAACCAGCAACGGCATCTGCTGGTCGACATACCGCCTTCCCCGAACCCGCGCCTTGATTCCAACGTTGCGACTTGGATCAACCCAGAGCATACTCGCGTCGTCACAATCTTTCACAGAAGCCCTGTCGGGTGGATTAATGCCATGCGCATGAACCTGGTCCCGGTCCCGATCCCGTCCTTCCCGCTCCTTGAGCCAATTCCGGAACACTCGAATCACCCCATCCTCGACCGTGTGGGCGCTCAGCAACAGATCGCTCCCCGGCATCACTTTCACCACATTGACCACCACGCACAACTGGGAGAAGTCCTCGACTTCTTCCAGGTTGATGAGACGCGTTACCGTCCTGTTGTCCGGGTCGGGAGCTAGTTCCTCGTCTACCAAGAGTCAGCTCATCATGCCTGCACAACTTTTTTTCAAAAGCAGAATTGAAGACCACTTACCAGTCCCATAAGACCCCCATCGCGTCGTTGGCGATGTCCCATCCTCCGGTGCTCGCTCCGGGCGGAACCGCGAATACACCGAACCGAGTCGGCCGAGGCGCTCAGCGGTGTCTACGTTTTCGTACAACGAGCCCTTCCCATCAAATTGGCTGCTCAGGTCGTCCGTACCGATGTAGGTGCAGAAGACATGGGGCTCGATGAGTTTCGAGCTGGGGTGGAAGCACTCGAGGATGAGCTTGTACTCCGGCAGGGAGGCGGCGATGCGGAGCCGATAGTGCAGGATGCGTAGGATCAAGGCATGGAAATGGTGGCAGACTGATGTCCAGGGGAGAAGAGAGCGGGTTGAGAAGCTGGAGAGAATTTGCACGAGGACCTGGATCGGTCGGTGAATGGAGGGATGTTGATTAGCGAGGCAGAGTGGGGTGGGGAGGGGAGGATGATAAGAGGTCAAGGGTCAAGGCTTCAAGCGTACTTCGTTAGGCAGAGAGAAGAGGTTTGTCTTGGAGGTGTTGTTGTCGCTGGCCATACTCATAGCATTATTCTTGCTGCTGTGGTGATGTGTGTATGCGTATGCCTGTAGTATGCACCCTGTACGTCTGGACTGTACTGTGATACTGTGATAACTGGATGATAACAGACACGGACCCGACCATGTGATGCTGACTGACCAGTTGACGTGGATGACGTCAGCTGGTCGGCCCGACGTACGAACTCCACTCAAGTCGGCTAACCGCGGGGAAGCTGACGCCGAAAAGGGTTAACCATTGCACATAACCCCCCCATTCTCTGATTTTATACCCCTGATAGCACGATCAGTACTTCCGGAGAAATTTCGCAAAGTCTATCACTCATCGGCATTACCAACGACAAGGTGCCTGGAGTTACATGGCAGGGTCAGGGTCCATCGCTTAAATACCCGAGGGGCTTTTAATCTACCCCGTGGTGGGCATAATTTCCGGAGCCCCGCGACGGCCGGCCCCGCCAGCCAGCCCAGGTTTTTCTTCCCTCGCTCGCTTCGGCCTTCTCTGCTGTTTTTTCTCTTCTTCCTCCTTGTTCGCTTCTCTTCTGACTCTCACACACTCTGTCCTCTTCTTTCGCGTGTTCTATTCGGCGCAAATCATTCGCGACAATGGTTGAAAAAGTTCTCGACGACATCTCCCACCGCAGATACAACCCTCTGCGCGGGTCTTCTATCTTGGTCTCGCCTCACCGGACCAAGCGTCCCTGGCAGTAAGTGTTATGCTGGCGTAATTTTCAAGTGCTGGGTTTCTGGGGTTTCTGGGGGAGCCCCTTTCTCTGGACTCTCACGAAACGTACTAAAGTACAAGCAGCTAATATCAACTTGCTGTCCAGGGGTCAGCAGGAGAGCCCGTCTAAGACCACGTTGCCCTCGTATGATCCTGCCTGCTATCTCTGCCCGGGCAACAAGCGCGCTCAGGGTGATTCCAACCCTAAGTATGACAAAACGTTTGTCTTCGTGAACGATTACAGCGCAGTCAAAGAGGAGCAGGCTCCGTATACTCCGGAAAGCACCGAAGGTATAGTCTGAAACAAGCCATGCACACAGCGGACCAACCCCTTACTCATAGCTTTCTGCCTACAGAAGCGGAGTCCTTCTTCCTCAAGGCGGAGCCGGTCACCGGAAAATGCTACGTGCTCACCTTCTCGGCGGCACACAACCTGACCCTGGCGGACCTGTCGCCCGCGGAGATCGTGCCCGTCATCGACGCCTGGACCCAGCTGTACACGGCGCACCTGTCGCCCAAGTCCCCGCTAGCGGCGGTGGCGCCGGCGACCACGCTGCCGCCCGACGCGCCGACGGCCAGCCCGGCGGCGGCCAAGGAGCAGTACCGGTACATGCAGATCTTCGAGAACAAGGGCGCGGCGATGGGGTGCTCGAACCCGCACCCGCACGGGCAGGTGTGGACGACCAGCTCGCTGCCCGAGGAGCCCGCCATGGAGCTGGAGCAGCTGCAGAAGTACCGCCGCGAGCACGGCGGCAAGCACATGCTGGAGGACTACGCCGCGCTGGAGAGCCGCAAGCAGGAGCGCGTGGTGTTCGAGAACGCCAGCTTCCTCGTCGTGTGCCCCTGGTGGGCCGTCTGGCCCTTCGAGACGATGGTCGTCAGCAAGACGCACAAGCGCGCCCTGGTCGATTTGAACGAGGCCGAGAAGGCCCACCTGGCCGAGGCCATCGCCGAGGTCACCCGCCGCTACGACAACCTGTTCGAGACGCACTTCCCCTACAGCATGGGCATCCACCAGGCGCCGCTGGAGGGCACCGAGGAGGAGGTCGAGGCCTCGTATCTCCACCTGCACTTCTATCCTCCGTTGCTGCGCAGCGCGACCGTCCGCAAGTTCTTGGTGGGGTGAGTAATGATTTTCGTGGACTCTATGTGAAATGCAAACTGACAAGGCTTCAGATACGAGATGTTGGGCGAGCCTCAGCGTGATATCACCCCGGAGCAGGCGGCTGCTAGACTCCGTGGCTGCGGAGGAGAACTGTACCGCAAGAAGATGGATGCCTAGGTTGTAGATGTAGGGTTCTGATGATAGTGCACATACATTCGATAATAGCTGTACATTCTGTGTTGCTTACCCTCGAGCTTCTACCTTTTTTTCGTTTATTGTCTTCTGCCTCAATTTTACTGATTTCGAGTAGAGAAATCACTCTCATGACAAATCGTGTTAAGTAAATCAACGGATCTGCTATTTCAGGATTGTGGAGGTACGCGATCGATCGATCCGGAGATGCAGATATATATAAGTGGAGCCGCCGGATCGGCAGACCCTGCAGCCAGAGTTCCCTGCCTCATGCACAACAACTTTCCAGCTGTTTAGTAACCAACTACCAGAAAATGCCAATTCCACTATCCAGACAGACCACTCGACCTGAACTCAATATCATTAGTGTTAAATTAACATTACTGAACATGCGCCCTTATCCTTGTCCATTACTCCTCCTCTTCCCGTCACACCCCGCCCCTAACCCCCACCAACAACCAACACCTCTCCCCCTCACCCACTGAACCAAACAAGAACACTCCTTCCCTACAGAAACCCCCAATCCCCCACCTACCCATCCCTTTGTGGAACACCACCCTAAGCACCCAAATACCACGCCCGCTCCCAGAACATCCACGTCAACGTGGACGAGGCGACGAGCAGCGGGCTGACGAACCGGCCCCGCAGCCGGGCACTGCCCTTGACCAGCTCGCCGACGAAGTGCACCAGGGCGATGCCGAAGGTCCACAGAGCCAGGTCGTACACGGCCGGGTTGTTGATGTTGTAGGCGGCGTAGAAGCGGATGACGGCCGAGAGGAAGGTCCAGGTGCCGAAGGTGCGCGACGAGAGCGGGTTGGTGTAGACGTAGCCCTCCGGGGTGCGGCCGTTGTAGAGCTCGGCCGCGTAGGCTTCGGAGCGGTAGGCTTGTAGGCTGTTGGCGGCGGAGACGACGGAGACCTTTTTTGTTGGAATTAGTTTTGTTGTTTTGGGGATGTGTGCGTGCGATTGTGAGGTGAGGATTGGGAATGAGCGGTGTAGACGGAAAGAACGAACCAGGACGAGCCATTGAGGGAGGAAGCCCTCGAAGGGGGGGAGGGAGAGCATTTTTTTTGGGGAGGGTTGGTGAATTATCTGAAGAATTCCGGGGGGTATATTGGTGGTGGTTATACCGAGGTGACGCAAAGCTGAATGATCAAGAAAGATGAAGCTCCGTAGCTCCTCGGGATGCAGCTTAGATAGACTAGAGTGTTTGTTGGTGGTCGAAATGCGAAAAGGAAGTTGCCGGCTTGGCAAACCCCAACAATTTGCACGGCACGCAAGCTCAGCTCAGCTCCGGTTTTTCCTTCTCCGCGTCAATCCCGTCAATCCCTCCGCGTCTTCAATTTCCCACTTCCCCCTCCTTTTGCACTCACAAGTCACAACCACTCCGCATTCTGATTGTTTGTCTTCAGGTCACGCCGTGGGCGATCGCAATCATGGAGTTCATCACCAGACATCTCGATTGCCTGTCCAACTGGCACCTTCATCTCCAGCCGGGATGGCAGACCGTCGGCGCCTCCCTGCTTCTGGGTGCTGGGAGCTTGTACCTCGTCTCCCGCGCCTTGCTCCTCGTTCGGGTCCTCTTGAGCTTGTTCGTGCTCCCTGGCAAGCCGGTAAGTCCGATTCTCGATTCCACCAATGTATCGTAGTGAAGGAAACTGACTCGTCTGGTGGTGCACAGCTCCGCTCCTTCGGGCCCAAGGGTAGCTGGGCCGTGGTGACCGGCGCCTCGGACGGACTGGGCAAGGAATTCGCCCTGCAACTGGCCCGCGCCGACTTCAACCTCGTCCTCGTGTCCCGGACCGCCTCCAAGCTCGACGCCCTCCGCGACGAACTCCAGTCGAAGTACCCCGCCGTGCAGACGCGGACCCTGGCGATGGACTTTGCCCGCAACCAGGACAGCGACTACGACCAACTCAGAGCGATTGTGGCGGGGCTGGACGTGGCGGTGCTGGTCAACAACGTCGGCAAGAGCCACAACATCCCGACCCCCTTCGCGCTGACCCCGGAGGACGAGCTGGCCGACATCGTGACCATCAACTGCATGGGGACCCTGCGGGCGACCCAGCTGGTCGTGCCGGGCATGATCCAGCGGAAGCGCGGGCTGGTCCTGACCATGGGCTCCTTCGGCGGCCTGCTCCCGACCCCGCTCCTGGCCACCTACTCCGGCAGCAAGGCCTTCCTGCAGCAGTGGTCGACCTCGCTGGGCGCCGAGCTCGAGCCCCACGGCATCACCGTCGAGCTGGTCCAGGCCTACTTGATTACCTCGGCCATGTCGAAGATCCGCCGCACCAGCGCCACGATCCCCGACCCGCGCTCGTTCGTCAAGGCGGTGCTCTCCAAGATCGGCCGCAACGGCGGCTCCCCCAGCTACGCGTACAGCTCCTCGCCCTACTGGAGCCACGGCCTGATGGCCTACTTTTTGACTTGCATCACCGGCACCATGGGCAAGTTCGTGGTGGGCCAGAACAAGGGGATGCACGAGGCGATCCGCAAGCGCGCGCTGCGCAAGGCCGAGCGGGAGAAGGGGAAGAAGAGCACCTAAACGGTGGGGGAGGGGGGATCCTTTCTATTCTTAGAGCCGATCCCGCACGACCACGTGGGAGTGACTCAGGGAGGGAAGCGCGAGGGGAAGTGGCTCATGGCTGGGGGAGGGTTTCTACGCGGGGGATGAGCAGGGGAGGGTGTGGAGTTCGGCTTGAATTCCGCAACGGTGAAGGGCTGCAGGCTCGGTGTGAGAATCTGTCACTCGGCAAGCCGAGCCGGATGGATCTGGCAGCGTCGGTCTCGGGTTGCCGAACGGCTCGGGGGAAGGGGGGAGGGGGTTGGTTTTTTTTAGCCTTATCTTTCGGTTTTCCTAAGCAGAGGGGACGGGACCGGCTGGACCTCGCCATCGATCCCCTACACGTGGTGATAATGGGCCAATCAGGGTAGACAAAGGGGGGTTTGCTTGCAGTCACAGATCGACAGATAGGGAATCTGATCACTTACTCCAGCTACCCTGAACCTTCGCAGAAGATAGCATTTCCCTGAACAGTCGGGCAGGTGGCGACGGGAGCCTTCAAGGTTCCCCTTAGCTTCCGCTGTCAATTCCACCGCATTGCTTTTTGAGAGTGGTATGCACGTCAGAGTGCGTGGACTGTGGATTGCCTCCTCAAAATTGAGACAAACCATGAGCAGAGCATGCCATGCATCCAAAGGAAGTGCATGTCCACTACGGGACTAGCAGGGATTTATTCCCTGCAGCAAGCAGTCCGACACCTCATACCAAGAGCCCAGAGGCTTGCAGGTATATACTATGCCGTAGTTACTGTGGGTGTCGTAATTATCGTCGCAGACATTCTTCTTTTCGGTTCTACATGTCGTCGTCCCTGACGCCATTCCATTTGCCTTTGTGTAGCTTGGTCACAGTGCCTGAAACCTTGGTTTTGAGGCAGATGACGCCGAAGGTTGACCTCGACGTTGTGTTTCGGAGTCTCACCGCTCATGCAGGTGTGTACAGTTTGCGGCCAGTGGAATTAAGGTAAGTGTGAGGGCGAGATTATGATCTCATCGGCTGCAGCGAGGTATCGATCTCCAGCGAGTCTGGCGAGTCTAGACCAGGGAGGGCTAGTGCTAAGTATCTATCATCCTGGCCATGTTATCTTGGTCCGCGGTGCAGGCGGTGGCCGGGCTTGCTTCCCTTTTTGATGGGATGGTCTGGCTGGCAGGTTTGGGTTTCGGGTTTCAAGGTTAGGATATTGATGATACTGCTACTGATACTGATGGTGATGATGAGGATGAGGATGTCATTTGGATTGGGGTTGTGATGATTGTAGATGGAAAACGGGGTACCCTCTTTCCCTTGTGGCACTGGTATGGTACAGGTAGTATTGATGCCTATCGCAGAGTGCTGGAGCGTACAGGCGGGCTGGCTGGCCTCTTACGTGTGGTGTTCACCAGGTCACTTGGATCCTCGCTTTGCGTGCACAGTGCAGTGAGCTAGTACCTTTAGTAGTCTACTATACCCACACCCGGTCCGGTGCTGCTTCGCTTACAGGCTACAGCGAGGTTCGGGTTTGAGGGGGTTGTTTGGTTTGATCCAAACACAACGAAAATGAAACAGAAAGAATTTTTTTTTTCGTTCTGGGCAAACTGGGTTTGGGTTGGGAATGGGTCAGGAACCGGGACTGAGGTTTTCTGTTTCGCCGCTTGTGTGGCCTGCTGGGTTGGTTCCTGGATGGATGCCTTAGGCTTGATACCGTGGTTGTACATTTACATGTCCGTTATTATGAGGGCAGTCGTTGATCGGGAGAATTGTGTCTTGCTAGAGGGCATAGCTGTCGGGAGTGTGTTTATCCAGACACCTAGAATGCATTCTGTTTGCAAACAAATGCCAGTATGTTATCTTGGGTTATCATTCCAGAGGCCGAGTGCAGCGTTGTTTGTTGTTCTGATCTCGGGTGAAACATCAGGCTGGCTAGACCGCATTCGGGACGGGTGAGAACCAGCCCTCAGTCTACGTCGACTCGACTCAAAGTGGGGGGCATTCCTTGGTGAGGTGAGTGAGGCCCGGCTCCACTCTGCTTCCGGCAGTGTTTTTAGTAGTCCACAATCTAGAGAACAGTAGGTGCCGTTGGCGGTTGGGTGGTTTGATCTTTTCACCTCAACTGGGTGATTGTCTTGGTGGTGTGAGGTTCTGCTGGGTTGCGTGATGATTTCAGATGGCCTGGTCTGCTCTACATTTTTAATTGCTGTGTACACTTTTGAGTCGAGGGAGAGTTCGCGTACTGTGTGCAGCACACAACACAGCACAAAAGATCGGTTATATCGGCCGAATCACCACGAGAGCAAGAAATTTTCATCTCGCACGGGAAAAGCCGAGATAGATGACGGGCACCCGTTGCGCCTGCCGGTGTTTGGGCTTTCTCGCCCCGTCCGGCATGCCGATAACAGCTCATCAACATGGATTGTCTGACCAGCGAGAAAACTTTTCACCGGGCCGCCGAAACCAGTTCGAACCAGTGCAGATCGGCCAACTTCCGTCGAGTGGTGCGCACTCCACCCGCCACCGGTGAGCTTCAAACGGGAAGGATCCAGATTCTGCCTTGGCTAGCGGCCCCTCGTCTAGCCTCGTCTAGTGGGCTAGTCTTCCTAGCCTGGGTTTAGCGGTGCTGGGTTCGGCACACCGAGACAACTTTCTGGGCGTCTGGCGGTGCAATGCCGATTCCGAGGGATTTTGTAGGCTGAGGGTTCGGGTGGCCGAGAGGAGGGGCTCGGGTTGCTGCTGACGCTGCACTTGGTTTGCTGGTGAGGGGTGAGGGGGTGGTACATGGTGGTATTGCTAGAGACTTAGGACTTATTCCACATTATAGCACACCGAACTCATTGTAAGCTATATTCCTTTTTTTTCTCATTCTCGTTGGATGGTGTTGTGTATATCAGCCCAGACGGCGAGACCGAAAGCGATGACGCAGCGGTGGTGACGGTGGTGACGGTGGTGTTGTTCCTGAGTGTTGTGGCCGGCCTTGGTTCGGGATCGACACGGGATTCTCTCTTTGAAAAAAAAAAAGAAAAAAAAGCAGAAAATTTCTGCTTGCAGGGCGAAACCAGCACTAACCAGCACTGGGCAAGCCCCACTTGGCGCCCGCGGATCTCCCTCGATTGGTACCGCTTGCGGCAACTTTACTACGACTCTCGCTGCAGCACGGTTTCTGGTTCCTCAGGGGTTGTCTGTCTGTTTGTTTGCCAACCAGGCGAGTAGAAAAATCTTTTCATTTCCTTCGCGTCAATTCTCTGACACAGAGAAAACCGAGAAAGCCAGAGCACTGAATCGCTGGTGGATCATGGTCTCTGGTCCTCGTCGTGAAGAAGGCTCTGTTTGTTCGGCTGCGGTGTGTTGGATTACTTCATCCTGGGCTTAGTAACTCGACTGGACTTTAAGTTGCTGTCTATGCGTAGCAGGAAAGCAAAGGTGGTGGTGGATCATGCGCCCGCCCATCCGCTCTTGCACGCACAGCATCCCATTCAACCACCGTAACACAACCTGAAGCTGTCATCGGCATGCACGGCACCCTCTCTTCAATTGTTGTGTACTGTGTCTGGGTGGCAAACCACCCGGTCTCGAATAAGGCCCGATTGGCGAACAATGGAATTGTACTCGGTAGGACTGGTTTTGATGGGCGCATCCGCATCGCCTCACACGGGCCTCAACCTGGTCACGGAGTGTTATAGGAAGCAATTTAGATTGCAAGCGGCATCACAATGACGGAGGCCACGAGCCCGAAAGGGGAGTCGATGCCGGAGCCGATGGAAGGATAGAATCAATAGTGTACAGTAGAGGTAGAGGTGGCAGATGTAATCTGCTGTCATTCAATAGCTAGGCTATTGTGTATGTACAGTAACTAAGTTAAGTTGCCCAGTGTATGCAGTAATACTGCAATAATAATGGAATGCATAAGATGCAGAATGACCGAATCGGGTAGGCACTCGTGACTGCAGTGCAGATGCAGTGCCAGAGCAATGAAAAGCCGGATCGGGAGGATTCCAGAAGGGTTCCATTCCTTTTCCCCATCAAATAATCTCCTCACTCTCTCCTCACTCTCTCCTCACTCTCCCAGTCTCCCCCAAATTCCTCGCTCCCTCCTTGTCTCCGCCGTCTTCAGCCTTTAGTCAGGCACGTTTCTCCGGGTTAGTGCCGCTTTCTCTCGGCCTGCCCTCTCCAGTCTCCAGACCCGGTTTCTCCACTTCGCCCATCATGCCCAATAATGTGCCCGGAATCTCTTTCCCTCCACTTCCCCCTAGCTTTGCAATGTTCCGAATTCTCCCACCCTCGTTCGTCCCGGCTCTGTTTTCGGGGTAAATCCCGAGTCGAAAAATTCACAAGAAAAAGAATAATAAAAAAAATTACCAAACTGAGACGCTGAGATCTGGGCCCCCGTTTTTTCCTTGCCCATGCCCATGGTCCTACCCCGACAAGAATGGGCCATGGGGTGTTTCCTCCAATCCCTGGGATGGAGGCGAATTGCCGACGGATCGAGTGCTGCTGCTGCTGCTGCTGCTGCTGCGTTCAAAAATTCTTTTCCCTTGCCTTTTTCAGTCCGTTTGTTGATGACGCCGCCGTCATCCTTACCGAGTCCGTTCGGGTCTTCTTCTCCATCTCTCCGTATATAATTCCTCCACTTCCCCCAGCTTCTCACTCTTGACATCTTCCCCTTCACTCATCAGTTTGTGTGTGCTTTTCAACTTCCCTTCACACTCATCCACAACTGTCAAGAGGGAATCTCATTCAATCTGCCTTTGTGTCTGTGAACCCACCGGCAACATGGGTGTCCACAACATTATGTCTCGCTTCAAGCCTTCGACTGAGCACTCGGAGGCTTCCACTCCTGCTCGCTCCGACTCCTACGCGGAGAAGGACCACGGCATCGTTGATGACTCTCCCGTCAAGTATCTCACCTGGCGTTCGTTCATCCTTGGTCTCTGTGTGTCCATGGGTGGTTTCATCTTCGGTTACTCGACTGGTATGCATGGCGATCCTTTTCCCCTCTTGACACCCGACCCCGACTCTGGCTAACCCCCCCCCGCCTCCCCACAGGTCAAATCTCCGGTTTCGAGACTATGCAGGATTTCCTGATGCGCTTCGGTGAGCAGCAGGCTGATGGCTCCTATGCCTTCAGCAACGTTCGTTCCGGTCTGATCGTTGGTCTGGTATGTTTGTTGTTCATTCCGTGCTCGGCTACGAGATCGCCCCAAGTAAATTAAACTAACCGCTGTGTCAGCTCTCTATCGGTACTATGATTGGTGCCCTGACGGCTGCTCCCATTGCCGACCGTTTCGGCCGCAAGCTCTCCATCTCTTTCTGGTCTCTCATCCACATTGTTGGCATCATCATCCAGATTGCCACCTCCACCAGCTGGGTCCAGGTCGCCATGGGCCGTTGGGTTGCCGGTCTCGGTGTCGGGGCTCTGTCCAGCGTCGTCCCCATGTACCAGAGTGAATCTGCTCCCGTCCAGGTTCGTGGTGCCATGGTCAGTGCCTTCCAGCTATTCGTCGCCTTCGGTATCTTCATCTCCTACATTGTCAACTACGGCACTGAGAGAATCCACTCCACTGCCTCCTGGCGTATCACCATGGGTATCGGTTTCGCCTGGCCCTTGATCCTGGGTATCGGTACCCTCTTCCTGCCCGAGTCCCCCCGTTACGCCTACCGCCAGGGCCGCGTCGACGAGGCTCGTGAGGTCATGTGCAAGCTTTATGGTGTTGGTCCCAACCACAGCGTCATTCTTCGTGAGATGAAGGAGATGAAGGACAAGCTCGAGGAGGAGCGCAACGCCGGCACTGCCAAGTGGCACGAGCTCTTCACTGGTCCTCGCATGTTCTACCGTACCATGCTGGGTATCGCTCTCCAGTCTCTGCAGCAGCTTACCGGTGCCAACTTCATTTTCTACTACGGAAACACCATCTTCCAGTCCACTGGTATCTCCAACAACTACATCACTCAGATCATTCTCGGCGCGGTCAACTTCTTCATGACTCTGCCCGGTCTCTACATTGTCGAGCACTATGGTCGCCGCAAGAGTTTGATGTACGGTGCCGCCTGGATGTTCATCTGCTTCATGATCTGGGCCTCCGTCGGTAACTTCGCTCTGGACATCGACAACCCGGAGAGCACTCCTGCTGCTGGCAAGGCCATGATTGTCTTCACCTGCTTCTTCATTGTCGGTTTCGCTACCACCTGGGGTCCCATCGTCTGGGCCATCTGTGGTGAGATGTACCCTGCCCGCTACCGTGCTGCCTGTATCGGTATTGCCACTGCTGCCAACTGGACCTGGAACTTCCTCATCTCCTTCTTCACCCCCTTCATCAACTCCGCCATCCACTTCGCCTACGGTTACGTGTTCGCCGGATGCTGCTTCGCCGCCATCTTCGTTGTCTTCTTCTTCGTCATTGAGAGCAAGGGCCGCAGTCTCGAGGAGGTCGACAGCATGTACGTGCTCCACGTCCTGCCCTGGAAGTCGGAGAGCTGGGTTCCCCCTGAGGGCATTGTCGATGACATGCACCACCCTCCCTCCTCTCCCAAGGCCGAGGGCCAGGCTGAGCACAGTGAGCCCACTGAGCTCCGCGAGTAAGCGGGCCGTCTTTCGACTCTGCGCTCCTGTACATTGACCATCTCATCTACATCGCTTTTAATGGCTCGCATTTAATGGCTTGCATTTTTTTCTTTTGCTTCTTGAATGGGTATGAATGCATCAAGGCATGGTTGTACGACCTGACCTCTGGCTGGGAATCTGACGTTCGGCGTTTGTTGATACCTCTAAGTACGATTGATTGATTGATTGATTAAGAAATGAAAATTCATACACTATCACAAGCATGTTCTGTTCCACGTAGCTTGCGCGTAGTGATTGGGTGGATTGTGCCACGTCAACGGTGTCATTGCAGTGTTGGATTGTGGGTCAACGGAGCACAACGATGTCCTGATGTCCCGTCTCTCCATACCCCAGCGCTTGATTCGTATCTGCATGTCTCAAATTTAAGCTTTGCATCCCTGTCATGCATATTTGGTCCGATGCGGTTATTTGTAAACAAGCATCCTCAACCCAACATTTCTGATCTTGTGATTGTTTTCATTCTTGGGGCAAGTGGCCAGGTTGCCTTGACGAGGTGTCGGAGTAAACAAGGACCTGGGATTGACGCCCCTGGTTATCCTTGGGGTCTCTGAACGGTTGCTGATAGGTGTCCTTGAGAGGAGGAGGTGATCGAGTAGGTCAGCTGGCCTCCTTGCTTCTTGCTTTGGTGTGAGTCCCGCGTTGCAGGCTGTCTTTATTTCCGGTACGATCCCTGCCCTAGAGAATAACGCATACACTTTCCACACACGCACACACACACACACACACTCCCTCTCTCTGTCTCTCTCAGGGAGAGAAGATGGTGCAGTGCATTATGTTCATCTTCTTGCCCAGAGGCGGCCCACACCCTCTAAACAGTTCCAGCCTCCGATCCCATACTATTCATACTGACTGCATTGGGTGATCTGGCTTTCATAACACACACCTATCGTCCAATTCTGCTGAAAAGGAATATAAGCGAGAGGAGAATGTAGTATCGCTTCTAGCACGTATCGGATAACCTACCATACATACCCTGGACCTTACCGTGGACCTGAACCCTGAAGTCTCAGCCGTAAGCTACAAGCTACAAGCAACAAGCGACAATCCAAGCTAACCCAAGCTATGGCTATAGTCCGGGCCGGTCCTTCTTTGCCTCGTGACCCGTCGGAGTGATGGGAGGTAAGCTTCACACTTTCGTTCGAGGTACTTGTAACCCAGTACGGAAGTTGGGTTGTCGGGACGGGGGGCGGGGGGGCTTAAGAGCTTAGCTTTCGTTCTTTTCTTTCTTCCTTTTTTTTTGTGTTTGGGAAAATGTGGTCCTCATACCTTGAATTGCAGGTGATCCCTGATGAACTGTTGGTCCTTGAGTCCCCGTCTCCAGAGGGAGACACTGCACTATGCAGTATCTGTTCAGTCTGACTGTCCGCCCCAATCAAACCTCAAATCCCTTCTAGCAGCAGTTACGGATCCGGTTGCAACAGCCTCCCTTTCTCAATGAGATAGATACCCAGATGAAATGAAATCCGGGGGCCTTCCCAGCTGTGCAACACCATCATTCTACCAGGCATAGATAGATAGAGTCTAGCTGCTACCTCTCCCAAGCTTCAAGGGGAGTTAGTCTAGCTGCCTACAGCTTCCGGCATCTCAACCCCTCTCTTCTCCCCGGGTGCCTCGAAATGCATATGCATATGCATATGCATTCCGCATTCCCTGCCCATACCCCATAGCGTTTCGATGGATCGCTGGGCAAGTTGTAGACCGGTTAGGATACATCTATCCCTGGCCCAGGCTTCGTATGTATAGTCAAGAGATTCCATCGTGCTGCTGCGGTGGGGATACAAATCTCGTACTTGCAAAGAAAGCCCGGGGTTGATGGGGACGTGTTTTATGGAAGGGGGGGAAGTGGGGGGCCGGGCTGATGGATTCTTCTTGTCTTGTTTTGCTTTTCTGCTTTCGATTTTTCCTACGGCGGGAGGGGATTGTGGGTTTGCTTGTCGGTATGGGTGGGTTTGGGAAGCAGGGTTCTAGGCTGAGGGGGCGTGATGCTTGCTTGCTTGCTAGGTGGTAGGTAGTTTTGATAAAGGAACAATGTTGAACGGTTTAACAATGGATAAAATCTAATGGGCTAGGGGAGGTCGCTTGAGGTAGGATATTGTGAGGTCGTTCGATTCTACTCTCCTTGGTTGTGAAAATGGAGGGGATGGTCATCGAATTTGCCTGCGATGATAGGAGAATAGGGACCAGGATTGACTGTTGCGGAGAGACAGTGCTGTACTGATAAAGCCATCAGACAGCAAAGGCTCGTTCTGTATACCTTTTGTGAATAGACACCCCCATATCGAGTACCCAGAATGCTTCTTCAGCTGTACATGAGACCAAGCTACACCTTACGAAACATACTCAAATCAACACTCAATTCAACTGGATCCACAAACCCAGGCATATCTAGGAAAGACACACAAACAACTCTTTCACTCAAGATCACTAATCACAAAGAAGACAACACCCCAAACGCCCCGGCAGTTTTTTGGAATCACCCCTGTTCAATTCATGACCACTTATGTTGCAACGAGGATTGAGCTTTGGACTTGGTACGCGGTGCGCATCACGCACATGCCATACGCGATGCAGCACGCGATGCGGTAGGTTAGGTGTATTAAGAGGAAAGGACTTCGTCTCGTCATCGACCATCTGCTTGGCCCGCTTAACGACGCTGGGTCTTGCCGATGGTGCGCTTGCCGGTGAACTGCAGCATTGTTAGCAACGGGATCAATGAAACAAGATACAGGCCATCTTACCAAGTGCTTGGGCAAGGAGGCAGTGGTGTGTCGATCGGCCTCTCCCTGGCGGGCCATGCGGTTCATCTTCTTCTGGCCCAGCTTGGCCAACCGCTCCGCCTTGGTGCGCGCCTGCTCGTCCGTCACACCGTCGTGCAGACGATCCGTCGCCGCCTGGCTGCGAGCGCGGCTCTTGGCCCGGGCAATCGCCTGGCGAGGATCCGAGAGATCGACGTCCATCGCATCGTCCATGTCCGCGTCGCGCGTGAGCGGGCGGCCGCGAACCTGGCTCTGGGACCGCGCCCGGCTGGCGGCGGCGTCGACATCGTAGCCCGCCGAGTCCAGCGCGTCCTCCATCTGGGACAGCTTCTTGGCCTTGGCGCTGCGCGGGATCGCCGCCCGGTTCTTGAGCGACTTGCGCAGCTTGGCGTCGTTCTTCATGAGCGCCCGCTTCTCGCGGATCAGGTCCGCCTTCATGCGGGTGTCGGCGTCCTCGGCGTCTTCCACACTCTCGTCCGACTCGTAGTAGCCGTCGGCCTCCAGCTTCTCCTCCTCCTCCTCCAGCGCGGCCAGCTTGGCCTCGATGTCCGGGTCCACGTAGTCGTAGATGTTCTTGCCGTTCCAAACCTCGGGGATCTTGTCGTGCTTCCACTCGTCGTTGGCCAGGTCGTAGGTCTTCTTGAGGTCGATGTTGTAGACACCCGCACCACCGTTCTCCTCCTCGAGATCTCTCTCCAGCTTCTTGCGGTTGGGGTCGTTCTTGTCGTACTTCTGGAGCGTCTTGACGGCATCGGGGATGAAGGTCTCGCGCGTCACGCCACCCATGGGCTGTGCGACGTGGATACGGGCGAGGACATCGCCCAGGCGACCGCCGGGGGTGCCGGCGTTGTTGGTGCCAGACTTGAGCTTCTGGGCCACACGCTCCGCGAGGAGCTTGTCGCAGGCTGCGTTCTTGACGTTGGTGACACCCTCGGTGGTCGTGCAGGATAGCTGCAGAAGCTCAACATCCCCGGACTTGAGGATAGCCTCGAGCTGCTGCTGGTACTCAGGCTCCAGGTCCTCGGGGCGGCGGACATCGATCTTGTTGACCACCAGGAAGACAATCTTGTTGGCGAAGAGGGGCTTGATGCTGTGGAACAGCTTGATCTGGTCACCCACAGAGTAACCGCACTGCTCGGACAGATCCATGAAGTAGAGGACGGCAGAGCGCAAGTGGGCAATGGCCGTGATGGACTGCATTTCAATGGTGTTCATCTCCTCGAGAGGGTGGTCGAGAATACCAGGGGTGTCGATGGCCTGGAAACGAAGGTACTTGTAGTCGAAGTGACCCACAAACAAACTCTTCGTGGTGAAAGCGTAGGGCTGGACGTCGACGTCCGCGCGGGTGATGCTGCGCAAGAAGCTGGACTTGCCGACGTTGGGGTAACCGCAGATCAGGAGCGTGCGGGTGTTGGGGTCGATGGCGGGCAGACGACCCAAGTGCTGACGCACCTGCTCAAGGTAGACGAGGGGGTCCTTGAGACGCTTGCAGATGGTGGCCATACGACCGAGGGCAGCGCGCTTGAGCTGCTTGCACTGGAAGAGCGACTGCGCATACTTGATCAAACGGACGTAGTCGCGGGAAACGGTCTCAATGAGGTGCTTAGCGGTCGAGATCTGACCGAGAGCGATTCTGAAGTGGTCGGCATCGTAAAGGGTGTTCATCAAATCCTTGTCTGACGGGAGTTTAGATTATCTGACCGACTAGTCTCAAATGCCGAGGGGCAAATTCTCTGGCACTGTCGGGTAGCGAAACTTACGGAAAGGGTGAATGTCCTGCAATCTGGGGAAGCCATCGAGAATAGCCTGGAACTTTTCGCAGAAAGTCTCCTGGGTGTATTTGACCTTTCTGGTGTAGAAGCCTATCGATCGAAAGAAATTTCCGTTAGTCCAAATTCATCTTCCTATCGGCTTCCGTGGTGGAAACCAGCGACTCGACGATCAACGTCGCAAAGTCAACAAAAGAAATCACGGACCTCGAATACGGCTGATGTTGAAGCCCGCACGGATCTGAGTGGGCAGCTGTCTCTGGGTGCGACTGAGGACGATGTCCAAGAACTCCTGATGCGTGGGCACCGGAGCGATCTGATCAAGCGGTGAAAATGAGATGTCAGTCCGGCTGATTTCTAGTGCGATCTAGAATGAATCCAGGCTTATCGAGATGGCTTACATCTTTCCACGTCGTCTTCATGGTGGGCACCTGTGAAATAGAGTCGTAACAGAAAGCGACTCGTCAAGGGAACCCCGGGGATGAATTGTCAGAGTTGGTAGCCTTCGGAGTCGAGATCAAACGAAAAAAAAATATTGCGGGCGGCGGCCGCTGGGCAGATTTTGGCGGGCGGTGAGCGATTGATTGGGTGGTGATTTTAGTTCCGCTGGTGTGTGGGGGAAAGAGGAGGCTCTCCGGTGAGCGAGAAAGACCTCGTGTGCAACTTTATCTCCCAGCTTCGCCCCATCTTATGTAATCTCCCCCCCTTCTCAATATTGGGTCTAAAACTTATTATGGAGTCTTCATTTACATTGACTATCCGGGAATATGATACATCAACATGCGTGTCCTGACAAAACCACCCACGGTGTTTCAATCCGGCCATCGTATCGTCATCATCCCCGTCCCTGAACCCCCCGTCGTAGCCCGACAGAACGCCTTGCTTTTATCAGAAACCCACCAGGAAGACTGAAAATCCCGTTTAATCAAGCCATAAAGATGCATCAAACCGTCATCGAGGGAATGGGTACGAAAAGGTCGAGTCAAGAAATCATAAAAGGGAAGGTCGCACGGCCGTCCACCACTAGATCATCATCATAAGAAACAGCCCGAGCACGGGTACTTCACTCCCGGGCGAAATCCTGGGTGAAATCAAACACCTGCACCGGCAACCTGTTAGTCCAGAAACAAAAGCAGAAGACCATAACACTTACCAAGTCCACCCAGCCACCACCGCCAAACTGACACTTGCTAGGTCCGCGGTTCTCAAAGCCAAACGATTCATAGTAAGGAATCAGATGACCGTGCGCGATGATCGCAAGGCGGTCGGCGATCTGCGCATCCTTGATGCGCTGAATATAAGACTTCATGAGGGTGCTGCCGACCGTCTTGCCCTGATGCTCGGGCAGCACGGCGAGCGAGTGAATGGCGATTGTGCTACCGTACTCATCATGGCCCACAGTCTCGCCATTCTCCACGGTCATGCGCTCGGTCTGCCAGTTGGCCGGCATCGCCATCGACTTGTCCGTCACCACGGGGCTCGAAGTTCTCGTGGCAATAACATGGCCGACCAGAGTGGGGCGGGGCTTGGGTTCGCCCTCGCGAAGGATGGGGAGAGTGAAGAGACCGAGACAGAGTTCAGGACACCGGCTCAAACGGTAGCGGAACTACAAATTGCGTCAGTCATCGGAGTAGCGTATCGGCTTTCATGAGGTAAGCAGCGGGGAGATATACCTTCTCGCTCGTACAGCGCTCATGTTGGGGGAAGGCCTCCTCAACCTGAACACAGTCCTCGACATTCGACTCTGTAAGAACCTGCACGAACGGGTGCAGTTCGTCCAACTTGGTGCGCTGGTGCACAGGCGGGCGGCGAAACCAGTAAGGGTATTCGACATCGTCGTGGTCCACTGAGACATACTCCCCATCGACCTCCTCTTCGCCCTCTTCCTCATCCTCGTCATCGATGTCAGCATCTTCCAAGGGAAGGCCATTGGCCCGAGCAGCCTCTACCCGCTCTGAATGGTTGGACAGCTCGCGCGCGGTGGCGGGAAGGGAAAACGAGTCTGCGTTGGACAACGGCCGGAGCCCGTTGACGGGTTCTTCATAGTGGTTGGACTGGTCGGACATGGTTGCGAGCCGGGGTAGGCGCGCCAGGCGATGAAATGGTGAAACTTGAGTAGAGGATTGACAGTGTGGGAAAAGTGCGATCGACAAGCGACAGGATGACCGAGGATGCAGGTAGGCCAAAAACCGGAACTGGGGGCTGAGCTGCGCAAAGGTAGTAGAATTCGGGATAAATCGAGGGGTAGGAAATACGCGGGAAGGCCTAGAGAAAGAAAGAGTGGGGATCAGTTTTTAGCTCAATGCGGACGATAAGCCTCGGACTGCGATTCCAGAAGCTCGATCCGGAGGCGATCATAGTGAATGAAGCACAGGTAGCTTACTTTGAAGGAAGCTCCGCAGGGAAAGGACTCGGGTAAACTTGTAGAGGGGGACAGTTGGGGGAACTGTGAAGCTACTCGGACATGGAAATTTGCAGGTACGCGCACAAGGGAAGAGGAGAGAAGAGCAACAGGCTGAGAGAGATCAAGACCTGCTGCAGAGTTTGTGCGGGCGGAGGAACCGATAACGGGAGGAGTGGCCACAAAAATGTAACAACAACCAGTCTGCAAGGTTGCAAGCAAAGTTGAAAGAAAACAATATTTAAAAATTTTTTTTTTTTCTTTTTTGTTTCTTCTCGTGTCTATACAGTGTCACGAAACCCTCGAGCTCCAAATTCCTGACCTTCATCTCCTTCTACTGTACGAAGTGAGTTACCTTCCACCAAACCCTACGGATTCAGTTCAGTTCAGATTCTTGGTCCTTGCTAGCCATAGCCTTGGGAAATTGCGGCAGACAAGTAGGTTGTACTAAAAGGTAAGGTACTACGGGTAATTACCCCCGGGAGGTTCTCCGCTTTGCGGCTGGTGGATCAATGAGATCCACGAGAATGGTATTTGACGGGGTTTCGGTATGGTCAGCCCCAGTCCGGAGCTGCACCCGGTCACTTCCACTGCTGCTGCCATTATTGTCAACCAATTCCGACGCCGAGGCTCTTTATCCCTGACATTAGGTTCGAGTACGGGCTGGTTGTTTCAGGTCAAGCGTATCGCTTCTGAAGGCAAGAAAAACGTGTTTGTCTCTGCTTATATCGACGAATCGACGAATCGACGAATTACGCACAGATCGATGTTTGCGCAGCTTTAATGTGACTACCCCGGGGCATGTACTGTACCTGACAGAAGTGACGTAGTTGCAAAGATAGAAATAGAAATTTCCCTAGTCAGATAGTCAGATATGACCCAACCACGCATTAGTGCCTCCATCCTAGTCGGCTTAGGGAGCCCTTATTGAATAATGCCGTAATACATACGGATCATGAAAGATAAGGCCCTGCAATAGATCACCCTCCCGCTCAGGCTATCTCCCCTGCTTGTCGCCTAAGATATGCAGCTACCATGTCAGGGTTTGCCAACCACGGCGTATGCGCCGTCTTGACCTTCTCGGTTTCAAACTGAGCGCCCTTGGCCCGGGCCTTCTCTACCATCATTTCTTGCACAAACAGAGGAATAGCTCGATCGTCCTCGCAGAGCAGATAGCTGCATGGGATGTGCAAGTAAGCTGCACTGGTCGCGGGTGTTGTGTGAGTAACATAAGCATGAGGCCGTAAAGACTGCGCCCATGATCCACCATCCGAAACGTCATGGAATAAAACCTGGACGGGATCTCTCACGGTGATGGTGTTGGTAGTCTCCTGGAGAATCACTTTAGTATGCACAGTCACACTTCTTGCGTTCGAGCCAAATCACGCACATCATGGATATACCATTCGGGAGCTTGTCCACCAATAGCTCCCAGTAGACTTTCACCGACTTCAGGCAGGAAGGCTGCAAGGAAAACCAGCTTAATTACTCCGCCAGACTTGCCAGCTGCTTCACGCTCTGCTTTGCCCAGTCCGTCCAGTGCACTGTTCACAGGAAGGCCGGACCAGCTATGTGAGACCACGATAAGTTCGTGGCCCTTTTCAGCCTCTTGCTGCACGAGACTCCGGACAATGTTGATGTCCGAATGGAGGTCTTGAACCGTGGTTGCCTGTTGTATGGATGGAAAGGCAACAGTGTGACAGCGATAGCCTGGCAGCTTTTCAATGACGGGGTCGAACGCTGTAGGAGGATACCAGGCGCCCGGGGCGAAGATGAGGGTGGGTTTAGCCATGTCAACTACCAGAAAGATGAGATTAAAAGATCGAATGATCTCGCTTTCCGATCATACTTATATTGATATCACACATGATGGGTGCATCTCCACTTTTATGCTGCTGCTTCAAAGCCCGTGATGTGCCGATTCCAGCAGCCGATGCCTGGAGCCTGAGCTGGGCCCCTTGCAATCCCATATAAAACCATAAGATCGGGATCTAAGCTTTATCCCGGTCCAACGACCCGATCCGACCCTGCCGATCAAATCCCGCATGAGACATGTCTACTAAGGTATCATAGTATGCCCAGTACTACAAGTTACTAGATACGGAGTACCATGTCAGACAATCATAGAATGTAGACCTATGAGGTTCGTTCCAGAAGGATCCGAGGTAACGTCTCCAGCATGTTTAGGTGAGGAGGTCCCCTCACCACTCTTGTACTTATCGTGTGACGCCAAGACTGGCTGCCCAAAACCGGCCATGAATGCGGGGGAAACAGAAGCTAAGGGTTCTGGAAATTCAATTGCTGACCACCTTGCCTTTCTCCTCCTTTGATGCTTGCAGTTCTGCCGTCTCTCAGTGGAAGTGATCCTAGCACTGAAACTGATAAATACACTGAGAAGTGAACACACTTCCGACTGGCCTGTTCTTTAACCCATTCACTATTCACTCACTGATTGTCGGGGCGCATCTACTATCATGGGCGACTACGGACAAGAAGCGACATCGCTCGAGACGCGAACACTAACCACCCATCCTTCCACCGCTACTGAACCCGATGAGATCTCTGTGCTGGTCACAGGCTTTGGGGTAGGTTCAGCTCCTGCTCCTGTTATCGCGCAACCACGGTCTGATGTGTCGCTCTCTACCTAGCCATTCAAAACGAACCTGGTCAATGCTTCTTATCTAATCGCCTCATCGCTCCCTCCTTCCTTCACATTCTCCACCACCACCCCCGACTCAGCGCCTTGTCGCGTCTCAATCCATGTCCATCCTTCTCCAATCCCAGTTGCCTACTCGACCGTGCGGACGACGCTGCCCGTGATCCTGGAAGAGTACGCCAAGGCACACGATGGCCGACGCCCGGACATCATCATTCACATGGGCATAGCGGCAACAAGGAACTACTACTCGGTGGAGACCCAGGCCCACCGCGACGCATACCTCATGTCCGACATCAAAAGCCGATCGGGCTACGAGGACGGCGAGCGTATATGGAGGGAGCTTGACTTGCCTACCGTTCTCACCGCGGGGCGTGCAAGTGCATCGGTGCCATCGGCGAAGAAGTACCTCAACGCTCATCCACCCGACACCGACTTCCTGATGGCGTGGCAGTCGTTTGCCGGTCCAGGCACGGACGTTCGGATCTCGAACGATGCGGGACGATACCTCTGCGAGTTCATCTTCTACTCGAGTCTGTCGCTGGCCTACCAAGAGGGCCAGGATCGGAATGTGGTCTTCTTCCACGTTCCTGGGTCCTGCACTGATGAGCATATTGCAGCTGGCAAGGACGCCGCCATTGCGTTGATCAAGGCTCTGGTGACGAGTTGGGTGGTCAGCGGTAGCAGCCCGGCCTAGGCGGAGTTATTCGCATGCTTCTAGCATTTTAGACACATTGGGAGGCATTATTGCATTTGGCATAGCCTAATTTTACTACTTTCATAATGCAGTGGACACCGTCGGAAATCCAGTGGAAAGGTCAGACATGGCGTGGGCAGGAAGAATTGTAGTTAGTGCTAAGCTTGAGCTGAGCTGCAATCAAGGGATCCAAAGAAGATTTCACCTCGTTATGGTGCATGACAATCGGATTTCCGTGTCTCGGATTATCTCGGATCAGACACCACCCAGATCCACAGCAGTGACTCCTTTGATGGGATATCCATTGGAATGGATCATGCTGGCGAACAATAGGCGCTAGTTATTGGCGGCATGAGTCAGACCTCACATAAGCACGATAAGGATGATTCTCCGCGGGGTCTCCGGGGTCTGCTCGCTTATCGCGAAATACTTCTAACCATTCCCCCCTCGCGCCTTTGTCTTTTCTTCTCTCTCATACTCAGGCATAATGATCTCATAGCTTGCAATTTATCACTCCCTTTGAAAATGGCCAATCTAGTCCTCCTCGCGATAATTGTCCTTCCACTAGTTGTGTTCCTCCCCAGTCTCAAGACGTGGCTCGCAACTCACCTGCCCCATGCCCTGACGACCCTCACCACCCTCCGCCGCGGCCATCGCCCCAAACAATCCCACGAGATTGTCGCCCTCCGAGTCTACCCCATCAAATCCTGCCGTGGACTCACCCTCCCCCGCACGACTTTACTTCAGCATGGTCTCGACCTCGACCGACGGTGGATGATCGTCGACGCGGCGACGCACGAGTTCCTCACCATCCGCACAAACCCGCGCATGACGTTGATCACCACCGCCCTGAGCAGCAGCAGCACCACCACCACCACCTCCTCCGACGAAACAGCGCAAGACAACTCACCCCTCAACCTAACCATCTCACTCCCCGCCCCATCCACATCCCAATCCCCTACCGCACCAGCAACCACGACAATCACCATCCCCGCGCACCCAACCCCAACCTGGCTCGCCCAAAACACCACGCTCGCATCGGACATCAAAATCTGGGACACCACGACAGACGGTTACATCTACAGCTCCGAAGTCAACGCGCCCATCAGCGAATTCCTCGGCCGCGAGGTGGCGCTGGTCTACAAGGGCCCGACCCCGCGCATCCTGCAGGGCAACGGGGCGCCGCGGCTGCTGGGCCGCGAGCAAGCCACGAACTTCCCGGACGTGCATCCCGTGCTGATCGCGTCGGAGGCGTCACTGGATGAGTTGAATGAGCGGCTGCTGCGGCAGGGGGAGGAGGCGATCACGGTAGAGCGGTTCCGGCCCAATGTGGTGGTGCGCGGGCGGGTGGCGTGGGAGGAGGATACGTGGAAGACGGTGCGGGTTGTTGCTTCCTCTTCTTCTTGTGCTTCTGAGGGTGGTGAGGGGGGTGTGAAGGGTGAGGGTAGGACGGCTGGGAAAGGCTTGGAGCTGGATATCGTGGCGCGCTGTGCGCGGTGTCAGGTCCCCAACGTCGAGCCGACCTCGGCGGAGAAACATAAGAAGCAGCCTTGGGATACGTTGATGGCGTATCGCAGGGTCGATGAGGGGATGAAGTATAAGCCGTGCTTTGGGATGTTGAGCGCGCCCCGGCATGAGGGGGAGATTGCGGTGGGGATGCGCTTGGAGGTGTTGGAGGAGACGGCGGAGCATCGCTATATTGCTGGTTTTTAGGGGGGTAGGTAAAAGGGCTCTGGTTGGGGAGCTGGAGGCTGACGGGGAGGGGAGAAGTGGAAGTATATTTGTGAGGCTATATAAAATTGTATTGTCTTGTAGTAGCGAAGAAAAGGTGGGTCAGAGTGACTTAAGGTAGAAGGAGGTAATAGCTAAGGAAGTTTAGTTTGTATACATCAAGTATTTATTTGTAATATTGCTATGGCTGAGATATCTGGTTTGGACGCATAGCTCTTTCTGAGAGCTGCCATCGCACTACGGCCACTGTATCTCAAAAGAGCTCCCACCCATATACTCGTACAGAGAATGCTAACTCACCCTGGGTCTTGGTAGCTACTCAATCAGTACGAGGGAAGAGGATCAGCCTTGGATGTACAAGGCAGAGAGCAGACACCGATGTTGATTCCAATCATTAAAATTTCGACATTATGAAAGCTATCTTACTTCTGACAAGACCAGCAAGCAGGAGGGTAGAGAAAGAATCCCGAAATCAGCGATCATCAGAAGATAAGCAACTTCAGATCAGATAGTAACGTATCATCCAGGTCAAGATCCTGCTCCTTCTCGTTGCCTCATTCCCGCCTAAATGAATATCTGCGTGTCTCGCAAGAACACATGAGCGAATGGTGCATCCACCCCGGTTAGCAAGGAAAGTGAATCTTCTGGTATCCGGCACCAGTGCAGTTCCAGAAACTGTGGAAAAGAAAGCTCAGTTGTCCATATGCAAGCTGGTCGGTTGTTCCAGCCAGAAAGGTGTAAATTTGTTGCATATGGGACTAAAGACCAGCCTTGCTCTCTGCTGACTCTGGGGCCACTCTGTAGATTGTTCAGAGCAGCGATCAGATGGGAAATGCAGGGAGGTTTGGAGGCGCTGGTGGCGGAGGTGTTGGAGGAGGCGTTGGAGGCAGCGCCGGCGATCGCGGTGGTGTAGGAGGAGGAGTGGGAAGTTGTATAGGCCGTGGATTTGACATTTTGCGTTTGGTTTTGCTTCTGTGTATTAGTGTTCAGTGTTGGAGGCTCGCTGGCTTAAGACTCTGGAGATGTTCGTAGGACGAAGCTCTGAATCCTCTGGGGGAATGGGGAAGTTCAAGAGGTAGCGGTCTCAAGAGAAGGTTGCTAAAATATCGAAGATTTTGTAGGGCAGAACTCAGCAGACGATCTCTACGTTTTTGAAATGCTCTGGCAGACCATTGGAAGAAGGGTCGCTTCATTGTCCCTCTTTCTTCTTGCTGACAGCTTGCTCTCACTGTGTTTCAGCCATTCTTTGAAGACCGCTGATCCTGTGCTTCTAGGGCAATCTCTGCACGTCTGGGTGAGGATCGCAACATGTTGATGCGGTTTGAAGTAAATGTCTTTCTTTGAAAAAGCTGAACCTGGGTGTGGGACAAAGACCGGTATAAAGGACTTGTATGCGGGTAGATCGGACATGATGTCGCAGGTTGGGACATATGTCCTTTCAACAATGTGTATTGTCTTTCACAGTGTGTCTCAGCGGAAACAGAATGGGAGCGGGGTGTGTGACTGGCCCTGTGACTGGTCTGTCATTTCTTTGTTCAAAGATTCAAGATGGACCTTGCCAGCAACTTTGTTCTTTGATGATGTGGCCATCCATGCTGAAAGACCTTTGCACATTGTCGACTTGCGAATCCTGGCCTTCCTGCAAGCTGTTATGTGCGCCGCCTGATTCGTAGAGGCTGCATGATCATAAGGCAGGTTGCCAACAGCAAAAGAAACATGGCTCCGAGTGTTGAGCCCATATGTTGTCATCCGCTTTCCGTTGGAAAGCTGCATGCGATCCGTGACGATGAGGACTCGAATGGCTCGACCCTGCATCGGAAAAGGCAAAATACTGGCGCTTCTTTGGCGTTGACCGATAGAGCAGAGAATTTGTTGACGTAGACATAGATCATTGAACAACAAACGGTTTCAGTATAGTATCATAGAGGGGTCATGAATGCAGACCCTGCACAAGCAAGATCATAATGAAGCGGAAGTCCATCCTCTGAAGCATATGAGACCACTATGTCCTTAGCTCAAGAATTCAGGCGATTCTGCATTGCCTTGCTCGCAGCGCAAAGAGAAATTGTAACGCGCAATGATTTGAACATATTGGTTTCCACTGAGGGAAGTCACGGGTTTCGTTGGAGTTTCTGGCTGCGGCGCCACTTCCGCCGTCAGTCCAGCCACCACCCACTTCCAGGATATCGCCTCTCATCGGCTTGATTGACCGTCTCCAACGATTACTGTGTCTTTTGGACATGTCATGGATTCTGACTCCAATCAGTCCCACATCACACCCGGTCTCGACTTCACGCAGAAGAGATCACAATCCACCAACATCACCATGTCAACCACGCTGACACACCTCCACATCAAACAACTCCATTTTGTATGAGCAATTTTTGCAATCCTCTCAAGTTATCACGATCGAAAGACTGAGTTGAACAATAACAGGGCGGCCCAAAATTGAGACACCAGAGCTTCGAAATAAGCTTCTCACCTCCGCCAGCCCGTTAGCCGCCACGCGTCCGCCACTGAGCCTGCGCAGGGAGCGGGACCTTTGCCTCGGTGGATACACCTATGCAGCCAGGCCTTCGAGAACCTTGCCTTGCCCCCTCGGTCCAGAACAGTGTCCCTGGCTCCGGCAACCCGACCTCACCCGTTAAGCTCAACCTCTCGGGGCTGAAGCTCCTTATAGTTGCAGATCCGGCTGCAGATCGGGTCCATACATTGGCGGACTGGTGGATCTCGGAGATCACGCTCATCCGTTATACCTGCCATGATTGGGAGCAGTCCTCGATGCGGTGAGACCTCAGGCGCTAGGATCATGTCGAAGTGTTCGCCAGAAAGAAAAATACAAGATACATCATACCACAGACTTAGGCAAATTGAAAGTAGCCAAGTTGCTGCTGGTGCGACCGTCAGTGACAGTTGGTACTTTGCCCCCGGGGAGGATCTCCCGGGCGCCGTCCAATAGTGCTGGGTAAAGCTTGGCAATATTGGATACTGCCCGTGCGGTACTACCAAGCATTTCTTGAGTCGGAGTAGAATCATAGTTCGGATTGCCACTCCCGAGTCCCTGATCTGCAATTCGCACCTGCACACCACTCAGCTCACCATGTGCGCATCCTGGTATGGAATGTTGGCGTCAACTGCTGCAACAAGTGTTCTGGGCTGGCATAAGGCTATCAAGACGTCTCATCGTATAACTACACAGGTCTCGTAGGGTTCGGGAATATTGCTACTCCGAACTCCAAAGAGATATCGGCCAATTGTTGCGCTGGGCCATGAATTCATTGCGTTATCAAGTCACTAGATGCTGGCCACGACACTTTGTGCCATGTTGAAACACCTCATATGTGAACTTCGAGCGTTGACATCCATCAGAGCTCCCAAATTCCGATTATAGCCAGGTTTCACCCAATGAATTGGCATCTGTTCGCATTCCCGTGGTCGGACACGGCGGGTGGCCACGTCAACACACAAACATATCCCCAGAATACTTGGAGTAGGATCTCAGGTTCTACTGTTATTATCGATCCCTGAAATTTAGCCTCGCCATAGCGAAAAAAAAAGGGATTACAAGCTCAGTTAGGGCCCTGCAGATCGGTGGAGTCAACCGCAGTGTGCTACCCAGGGGTTCGCTACGAGTGGATCGGAAGCCCAAAGCTAATGAGTGAGCCTGCCCGATAACACGCATGGAACGAGTGATCATGCAAGGGGCCTACGACCGTCGTCATACAGCTCTTGTAGTGGACAGACACTATTGTCCCATTCACATGTATCCACCACCATGTCAAGACCCAACGGGCCAGTCGGGGCAGGTTCGGCGACTGGGGAAGTCAGAGGGCACCGAGGGGAGCCCCAGAAAACCAGTCAACTGCACAGCAAGGGCCACATACCAGGGAGATCCGCTGTGAGGACGCGCGTTGCCTCCTCCAAACCAGGAGATTACCCACCGATCTGCTTCAACCAGTCTGAAGCACTGTGCTCTCTAAGACTTCTATCAGGTTATTTATTACCCTGACCGTTCTCATTGAGCCATGGCTGAGGTTATTATGCACAGCATCTTTCTCTTCGTACTGTCTTCGATTGTCTGTGGTCATCATGCCGGAGGACCCTCAAAGCAATCTCGAGTACTCTCATGCCTTGAAGCTAGAGTCCAGCCTTGAGAGCGCCGACACAATTTTCGGTGAAAAGCAAGCCATTCACGTGGAAACCGAGGCGATCTACTCAGTGGATAGTAGCGATTGTTCTCAAGATGGGGGTGAAGACTACGTTTATTGGGATGGACCTAACGATCCTCAGAATCCTCTGAACTGGGCAAGTTGGCGGAAATGGGTCATTATAGGATTGATCTCCGCGAGCAGTTTCAACGTGTATGTCCCTATCCTGCCATGCAGCCTATGGACAAACACGACTGACACTATCCAGCTCGATGGTCTCCACAGTATTTTCGCCCGGGGTGCCAGACGTGCTGAAAGAGTTTCACATCAGCAGCTCCTCAATTCAGTCCCTCTTGACCACGATCTATGTCATGGGGGCTGCAATTGGCCCCATCATTCTGACGCCCATCACTGAGATGACCGGGAGACTGCCTATGACACACACGGCAAACATTCTTTTCACCGTGGCGGCTGCAGTCTGCGCAGCTAGTGTGAACATGCCCATGCTTATCGTGTCGCGTCTGATTATGGGCGTCGCAAGTTCGGTGCCTGTGACTGTCGGCGGAGGGTTCGTTGCCGATATGATGCCGATGGAGAAACGTGGAACAGCGATGACGATATGGACAGTGGGACCACTTATGGTATGCAACCACTTTAACAACGATAGATGCCAAAAGCTAATCTTGATCATAGGGGATGGTGACCGGCCCTATCTATGGTGGCTACATGGTTCAGAATATTGGATGGAGATGGACAATCTGGCTGGAAGTCATCTTGGTAAGTCGATCCAATTCGATCCCAGAAGTCATATCTAACAAGCCCAGGGTGCGGTCATCGCAATTGCCTCATTAATCCTACTTCGCGAGACATACGCTCCTACGATTCTGCAGCGGAAGGCGATGAAACTGCACAAAGAGACCGGCCGTTCTTACAAGACGAAGTACGACACCGACAAGACTGCTGGACAGCTTATCTGGGTCTCATTGACACGGCCAATCAAATTCCTCGTGCTGTCGCCTATCGTGTTAATCGTGACATTGTACAGCTCCGTCACCTACAGCTACATGTACATTCTCTTTACTACATTTACCGAGGTGTTCGAAAACGTCTACGGCTTCGGCCCCGGCGAAGCCGGACTCGCCTATCTGGGACTGGGGCTGGGCTTCTGCTTCGGACAGGTGACGGTCGGATATTACTCCGACCGCTATCTCAAGAAGCAGGAGAAGCTCCACGGGAAGATGAAGCCCGAGGACCGTCTCCCGCCCCTCGTGCTGGGATGCTGTCTGGTCCCGATCGGACTGTTTTGGTACGGCTGGACCGCCGAGTACCGACTGCACTACATGGTCCCGATTGTCGGGGCCTTCTTCGTGGGCGCGGGGATTTACTACGTCCACTTGGTGACGCAGGTGTATCTGATCGACTCGTATACGCTGTATGCCGCCAGCGCGGTGTCCGCGGAGCTCGCGCTGCGCTCGATCTTCGGGGCGACGATCCCGTTGGGCGGGGGTCCGCTGTATGACAGGCTCGGCCTGGGTTGGGGCAACAGCGTGCTGGCGTTCATCGCTGTCGCGTTTGCGCCCACCTCTCTGTTCTTGCTGAAGTACGGGGAAAGAATTCGGACAAATCCCAAATTCCAGCCCCGGATGACATGAGTGCGGTTTTTTACTCTCTGGTTAGCATAGCGATGATTTACACAGGTGCCACACAGGTACTTGTTGAAGTGTGGGGGCGCTGCCCTGCATGTATTGTACATATTTCAGTCTAGACTTGATTATATCGGAGTCACAAACCAAGCGACGATGATCCCAGCAAATAACTCACCTGTCACTTTCTATTGCTCTGTATCGTTTGATGATGGTGTGGCTGGATGACAGCCAACAACAAGATGAAACGTCCCCCTTTCCTTGGCAGGGACATACCCCAGTCAGTGCACCGACCGGATAAGCAGGTATTTGGTTTCCAGGGCGAAGCTCATTAGTGCTGACCTACTGTTCCAGCATTGACTTCATATCATTGAATTCCGGCCCGCACGTCTATTCTTGGAGCAGCCGCCGGACCGACTGGATAATCTGACAGCTTCCATGGCTGTGCAGAACTGTACAGTACAGTAATGTACATATGCATGCATTATCTATGCTTACGTGCAGCACAAGTGTATCTGGGCAAGATTTCACTTGGTTTCGATTGCGAAAAAAACTGATGATAATTTGGGATCACTGCAATCGTTTCAATGATAATCCCTACATTTACTTTCTCTTACCGTGTAAGTTGAGATGGTTTTATATGCTATACATGCCAAGAGGCCCGGAGCAACTGAATCCTTCATTGCCCTAGCCAGACGGAGACTACATTCGATATCAACATTAGATCTTAACAATAGTTATCAAGCTATGCTCAAACTAGCCTCGAAACAACAAACACCACCTACCTACACCTACCAGAAAGTCCACTAAGCGACCCTCACCTCACCAAATCTCCATCTGCTCCTCCGACAGCCTCGGCCTGGTCGCCTCCCACACAGCCCGCCGATTCAGATACCACCGCCACTTCTTGGGCGCGTACTGCTCGACAAAAAGCCACGAGAGGTTCGGCACATCCTCTACCGAGTCATCGGGCTCCTCGTGCTGGACGATCCCGTGATAAAGCCCCGGGAGCTCGCGGAGGTCGTGCGGGATGTGGAACTGGGATTTCTGGGCGGGTTGGTAGCGGACGAACTTGCCTGTGCTTATGAGTTTGGGGGGGACTGTGGGGAAGGTGGAGGGGTGGAGGGATGTGAAGATCTGGATGATGGGGGGGCATTTGAGGAGGCCGTGGATTGGTGGGGGGTGGCCTTGCGAAGAGGGGGCACGGCGGTGTTGCTCGAAACTACACCATTGTAGCATGTTGGCGATGGCTTTGTCCCAGTCGAGGTCGCCGATGGGGCAGGTGTAGATGTGGGTGAGGAATCGCGCACCCTGGATGGTGACGGTGTGCATGTCGTCGGGGAAGCTGAGGACCGTGGTGCCGGTGTAGGTGTGGGCGATGGGGGCGCTCCAGTCTTCCGGGTTGAATTGGGGGCAGGGCGGTGCTGGGTCTGCTGTTGCAGACTCTCGTTTGGATGGAGGTCTACTTTCCACCGGAGACGTGTCTAGGCTTGACGTTGCCTCGCACACCGAGTGTGCTGTCGGTGGAGCAGATGTCTGGGATGCAGCGCTGGATGATGATGCCTCTGTGTTGTTTGGCTCGACCGAAGGAATCCTCGGCTCGTTGGTTGCGTGCTTGGATGGTTCCATGTGATTGTTGGAGTTGGAAGTCAGAAAATTTCAGGGTACGTTAGAGTTGAGTGATGGAGAATGTTTGGCAAACAAAGGAGATTTATACCTGACAACATGGATGATTTATGATCATATGTATCTTGTGCCAAATACTAGCAAGTAAGACATGATGACGGAGAGAGCTGTTTTATACACCCGAAGGCCTCTTTGTCTCTGCCTTGGGTCTATCCTGTGGAAGGATTCTCTTTGTGGGCTGCGTGGTGATTTTCGCTACACCTTTCATGGTGAGTTCCACCCCAACAATAATTGGATGTTGATAAGACATCGCATGAATGATATCAAGTTAGGTGAGTTGCGGATAAGGCTGGATCCTGTGAGATGCTAAGCCTTGGTGCCTGGGGCTTGGGCGCGGGGGTGGGATTTCATCCAGTTCTGCAGCCAACAACCGTCGATCAAACAGCATCATGCACTTCCTATATACCGAAACAGGATATCAAGAGCCTTGGATTTGGCCCGACACATTGCTTATCTTTGAGACTTGTCTCAGGAGGCATTTACCACTGCATAACACCTTTGGCGCGAAGCACAGCCCTCTTGTGTGATGATGTCGCACCGGCTGCATCGCCCCCACATAAGACGGCGGGGTTCATCTTGATTTGAACTGTAGAGACTCCTACCAGAAGCAGAAACTTTGAGTGGGAGATAGTGTTCGTTCGTCGATATTAAGCTGCTTTGCCCCGCACCTCTCAGTCTCCAAGCATGTGTGTATTTCTTGCTATACCAGCAGCGCTTCCAAGATCATCATGTCAACCGCATTCATACTTACAGGCCTTCAGGATGCCAGAGTATCGAGGCCCGTCTTCATGGTTTGTAGCCTTCCTGCTAGCTTCGGAACTCATACATCTGACAGCATCGCTAGGGAGTCCTATGGACCTTCACCGCATCCTCGACGATCTTCGTCGTCGCTCGCATCGTCATCCGCCTGAAGACCTTCCGACGGCTCTTCGTCGACGACTTCTTCGTGCTCCTGGCCTGGATACTTTCTGTCATCACTGGCATCGTTTGGCGGATTGAATCCCCAGTGCTCTACGAGATGTATGCGCTCAGCGCCGGCAAAACGCCCTTGACGCCGGGCGTCGTCCCACGATTGAATGCGCTGATGCGATTCGAAGCCCCGTTCATGGTCCTCTTCTACACCACGCTCTGGTGTGTCAAGTTCTCTTTCCTGACTTTCTTCTACAAGCTGGGATCCAAAATCCAGACCCATCGCAGATGGTGGTGGGTGGTCTCCGTCATCACCCTGGCGGTCTGGGTGATTTCAGTCGGAGACATTGACTACCAATGTAGCCTGGGAGGCGTGGAGTTTATCTTCGGTGAGAGCCATGCCTTCCTCGCTCTTTCATCCTCTCTAACATGAGGAATAAGAACAATGTAGCAAGCCCTACCACATCCGCTGGCAGAACGGCACCTTCTGGGCCAATTGCGCCGGCGACGTGATCACCGATCTTCTCAGTGGGTAGACCTACTCATAAACCAACACTTTCTTTCTCAATCCGCTAACAGACACAGTCCTCTCAATCCCCATCCTCATCGTTTGGAATGTCCGGATCTCCCTCACGAAGAAACTAATCCTTCTCGGCATTTTCGCCGCGAGCATGGTCATCGTGGCCGTGGCCATTATCCGCGTCGTCACCAACCATGCCCTCGACCACAACATGGATATGACCTGGCTGTGGATGTGGAGTTTCATTGAGATGGGCACCGGTAGGTTTCTGTCACCGCATGGCTGGTGTCCATATAATTTTGGTGCGTGGTTTCGCAGTACTGACCATGTATCAGCGATCATGATCTCTTGCGTCGCCTCCTTCCGCCAGCTCTTCGTCACCTCCCAGAACCAGCACTTATACGGCCACTCCGCCTATCATCCGGGCAATCCTCTGCTCACAGCCCTGCGGCTACGGCAGACCAAGTCTCAGGCTGCCGGCAACAAGAGCTGGCGCGGGTACGATGGCGGCTCCCACAAGAGCGAGACGGCTTTCGTGGCGGTGGACCAGGTGCAGTCTCGGGAGCAGGGCGAGGCCGCTAGCATCCGACCGGAGAGTGATGCAGGTAGAGGGCGGTTTATTGAGCATGTCGCTGTATAGCCTGCCATTGCTCCTGGGCTTGGAGCTTGGGTGCTGGCTTCGTGAGGTATGATTTATGTAGTATGATGTATGAGCTGAATGTGATTTAATGTTAGAATAGATGGTTGAGGGCCTGTTGTCTTTACATATGGGGTATTTCGCGGTGTGGGCTGCCTTGGATCCTTTCATTCCAATTGGAGAGCTTATACTCTGGTCTATGTCTCATTCCCTTGGGCTCATTCTCTAGGTAGTGAGAAGGACAAGGCCCGCTGATATGAGTAGATATCCCATACAGGTGAAAAGCCACCGCCCATTAGGCTAGTACCCCCGCCTACCTCAACAAACCAAGTCCACGCATCCCACGCGAATCCTCAATTCACCATGAAACTCACCTTTAGCATCAGAGCCTCAACACCGGCTCCGCCCTCCCTCTACCCCTCTATATAATCCCCTCACAAGCCCACAATCCAAGCTATCATTACAACTACAACACCCTCCACAACCCCCCCGCCACCCCCCCCAGCCAACATCCCACCACCCCCACCACTACCCACAATAACCCCACTCACCACCCAACCACCGAGATGCAAAAACAATCACGAAAATCCACTCCTAAGGCTGGAACAAGGAGCGTGTTACTCGCAACGCGACGCGCCCACCCACCAACCAATCACCGTGCGTCCTCCGTCGAGATGTCAACCGATCACGAAAAGCCACTTTTAAGGCTGTCCCAGTGTTGATCAGAGACTGGGACGCGTCGACAGGGGGGCTGACGTGACGAGAGCCAATCACAGCGTCTGCGCCGGCGAGATGTCAACCGATCACGAAAAGCCACTTTTAGGGCTGAGGCTCCGCTTGGACGTATTGGTTGGGACGCGGTGAGACATTGGTCGGGGGGCCATGTGGGACGGTAGGGGGGGGAGGTGATCTTATCTGATTGTGTTTCTTGGGTGGTTTGGGTGGGTGGTGGTGGTGGTGAGGTTGCGCTGCTGTATATGTATATCACCCTCGACCTCCGAGCTGGCCCAACTATCTTTCCGGATGGTTGTGTAGATCGACGCCACTGCAGTCTCAAATCGTACCCCACTGATATGGGAGCGTGAGCGGACCAAGATATAAGGCTATGGACTTGATACCTTACCTGGAGTATCATCACCCGAGGTGTCTGTCGCAGATAGCGGGGCGCACCAGTCCACAGTGAATGTTTAGAGACACTTTTTACAAAGACAAGCCTCACCATTCGATTCATAGCCCAAAGGTTATGGAAGTAATCTGGTAGAAGAAATGCATATCTGCCCTGTAGGGAGAGTCTCCAATGCAGACAGACGTATGTGTCATGTGAGTCCAAGGAACACCCTCGCTAGATCCCAGTGGCCCAAGTCAAAATTGTCACAGGACTGCGATTACCTCCCACACTGGGAATAAGTGCTACGATCCTTCTGGTGGCAGAGTATCAGTAAGAGCCTGGCTATATCCCGAAACCGCGGACCCAAGCCTGTTAGCATGAATAAATACACTCGGTGATTCGCAATTCCCACCGATTCCTGGAAAAGCTGCAGACAGCCTTATCATCCCAGCTTTCAGTTTGTAGCTAGAATCAGGAAAGGCCTGGTTTATACTGTAGAGGGGTACTCTGTTATTCTACTAGTCGTGATTTATGTCCAGGATGGCTGCCAGCGGGTGTTGCCAGTGTGAACGGCGTGGTGGTGACTGGTAAGAGACTGTTGCTGCATCCCGTCCGCTAGGCGATTACACGATGAAGCTCTTACTTGATGAGGAAGTTACCTTCCTCTCCTCTAGCTTGCTGTCTTGATTGAGTCACGAGACCCTCCCCGGGACGTTGAAATGGTCGAAGGTTATCAAACGCTTGAGCAGGGTAGGTGTTACTTTCTTCCTCGCGGTGGGTCTGCTGTGATATTACCATGTAATTCTCTCCTAGACTGATCAGGGTGCCTAATTTCGAGCTCATGACTTCGAGGAGCCAATCTATACTTACTGTGGCATGGTATTCCAACTTGACCAGAATGCCTGGTACCTGTTTGGCCTCATGAAACAGTGGTTGAGTCTCCTTATCCTTCCACCGATGCCCATTTAGGACAAACACATACCAGAATTGCCGAAATGTCAAAACCTTCTGAGTAACACAGTAGGATAACAGTATTCATGATGTGAGTGAATGATATGAGTTGGGATCATGAAACGATAGGCCACCCCCCAGCCCCGCGCGCCGTTTGCTCTTCATTCACCAGCCTGCCTACAAAACCAACAACACCCCTCCTTCTCTCCCTCCAACTTCTTCTTCTCTTTTCTCTTCAACTTTCTTTATCCCCTTTCATTCACTTTCTTCATCAACACTACCCCATCAAATCTGCTACCTTAACCCTCAACCTGATTCCCTTGTCCATCAGCTGCTCATCTCAGAAGTCAGCCACACCGATACACAGACAAAGACACCCTGATCGTGGAACTCAAACCAGAGCATCCCATCAAGAGGCACTGAGCCACGTTGCTATGTCTGACCTCAATTTTAACATTGACAATCTTTCTCGTTCGCTCATTGCAAAGGCCTCAGCGGCCGGTCGGCCATCGTCAGCCACAGAGCAGAGGGCTGCATCGGTGACCTTGGACACGGAATCGCCAACAGATCAGTACCTCACCACAACTCATCTGACTCAACTGCTCAACCCTCTTTTTGACTCGCGTGATCATGTCTCGGTGCTGGAGATTCGACCCGGCCCGAAGAGCATCCTCCACTATCTCTCCCCGCGTCTGAGACGGAAGGTCTGGCGATACACTGCAATCGAACCGGAAGATTCGTCTGCTACAATATTAGAAGAATGGCTTCACTCCACATCCAAGACGGAGTCTCCTCTACCTTGCCTCGAAACTCCGCCCAACATCCGTCAAATTTCCCTTGACATGGCTTTCCCTACATTGACCGGTGCCATGCCGGTTGCATATAATAGCAAGGAGAGGTTTGACATCATCTTTTTCTCTCATGGGACACACTCCGTGCTTCGCTTTGCGTCCATGCAATGGACAGTGCAAATGCTCGCGAAGCGGCCTGAGGGTGGAATGGTAGTGATGATCCATGACGGTACGCTGCCTATGTATGTGACCGGATTGGTGTGCCATAAAACAGCTTCTCTCCCTGCCAGAACTTTCCGCGTGGTAAATGACGATGCAGTGCTGAATCGCCTTAACTCTTTCAACACATCGTCCCGCCTCTCAAACAGGCGGCGGAATTTCTGCCGCAGCGTGGGCCGGGGCGAGAAAGAAGACTCGGATTATCTATTGGTCAATATGCCTACAATCACGACGGTCTTCCAAAAGCATGCGAACTCGTTTGGTGAGCTGACAAGGCTCGTGCCCATGTTGAACAAACCATTGAAAGATCGAGTGGCCTGCCTCAATCATTCTCCCTTGATTGTTAAACCACGGAACATCCAACATGTTCAGCATTGCGTTAGATGGGCCTCGAAGCACGGTGCTGGCCTGACACTCATTGGTGGGGGCCACAGTGGCCACTGCATACGGCCTCACGTCGCCTCAGTTGACATGATCGAAATTCGACGAAGTACATATTGTCCCGGTTGAGGCTGGCACTGAAGACTCGAGACCTGATTCTGGGTCTGTGGTAGTCGCTGGCGGGGGTTGCAAGACAGGTGATATCATCAAGAAGACTATGATGGCGGGCTTGACAGTGCCCTTGGGGTCACGACCGAGCGTGGGAGCTGGACTGTGGCTGCAGGGCGGTATCGGGCATCTGGCTCGGTTGTACGGGCTTGCATGCGATGCCATTGTCGGCGCTGTACTGGTTAGCGTTGACTCAAGCCAGATACTCTGCGTAGGCAATGTGCCGATTCAGCACAGGCCCGCTGGTGCCGTCCGCCCGGAAAACGAATCCGATATACTGTGGGCAATAAAAGGCGCCGGAACCAATATTGGCATTATAGTCAGCGTCACTTTCAAGGCTTTCGTGGCTCCGGCCTATTCGGTGCGAAACTGGGCCATCCCGTTAACTGACCGTGTTGAGGCGCGACAGAAGCTCGTCGAATTTGATCAGTTTGCGAGCAAACTTCCTCGTAATTGCACTGCAGATGCGTATCTGTACATGGACATGGACCAGCTGCATCTTGGCGTGACCATATTTGAGGCTTGTATCACTGATCCTACGCATGAACTACCATACCCCATGCCGAACTGCACATTCCTAGGGTCTGAACATGATATCAAAGACGTCGACAGTGTCGGGCTGTTTGACACCGACATGTATATAACCAAGATTCATGGTGGACATCGCAGCGGCAAGAATTATTCCTTCAAGCGGTGTTTATTCTTGAAGCAAATTGGACAAGCCGATGTCACTGACATCTTGCTGACGGCCATGGAGACTCGTCCCACACCACTCTGCTATGTCCAGCTGTTGCAAGGTGGCGGAGCTGTCAATGATGTGGCGGCTGATGCCACTGCTTTTGGCTGTCGAGATTGGGACTTTGCATGCATGATAAGTGGTGTATGGCCCCGCGAAGATGAGGTCGAAGTGGCCGGAGCTGTCGAGAGATGGGTATACGATGTCGCCAAAGACTTGTTGCCCTTGAGTAGTGGATCTTACAGCACAGATCTGGGACCAGACCCTAGGGACTCCGCGCTGGCAGCTAAGGCATTTGGTTTGAACTGGCTGCGTCTGGCCCATATCAAGCACAGCTTAGATTCGCACAGCGTTTTGGCCTACGCCTGCCCACTCCCAAAAGCACCTCAGCATAAGCTCATCATTCTGATCACGGGCGAAAGCTGTGCCGGGAAAGACTATTGCGCCAGGATCTGGGCCTCTGTATTCACCCACGGAAGCTTCACGGTGCGCACAGTGAGCATTAGCGATGCGACGAAGCGAGCATATGCCGCAGCTACTGGTGCAGATCTGAACCTGCTTCTGTCAGACCGTGCTTACAAAGAACAGCACCGGCCAGCATTGACAGAATTCTTCCGGGGTCAAGCGCGGGCTCGACCTCAGCTGCCAGAGGAGCATTTTCTGGGTGTGGTGTACGGGGCAGTAGACTTGGATGTGTTGCTGATCACCGGAATGAGAGATCAGACGCCAGTCGCAGCCTTTTCGCATTTGGTGCCAGGTACTAGACTGATTGATGTGCGCATTGAGGCTAGCGAAGAGACACGGCAGGCTCGTCGAGGATGCCAGGGCCGTCAGCAAGAACGCAAGGACAAGACAGACAGCGGCGAGGGCACGTCGAATCCAGCCGCCTTGGAATATTGCCCCAGTCTCATTTTCGAGAATGACACTCTCGGAGACGAAGCAGTGAGAGAATTTGGCGAACAACACCTGCTTCCCCTCGTCGACGAGAACCTGCAGCGACTGGCAAACATGGTCCGCAAGGTACACGACTTTCCCATCCCGGCCATTGACTTCCGCCATGTGCTGGGCATTTCGCAGCAGCCGGGTGAATTTGCGTTGTGTACATCCCTTCTGCAATCTCATTTCACCGGTGACTGGGCGAAAGTTGGTGCGATAGCGTGTTGCGAAGCCGGTAGCTTTGTGTATGGGTCGGCGCTGGCCATGCAAGTCGACGTACCTTTGGCACTGATCCGCGAAGGTGGCAAGCTCCCCCCACCGACTGTTTCTGCCCCCAAATCTACTTCGCATATCTCGTCTATGGCGCCTAGAGAATCATCCTGTGACTCGAGTGAGAAGCGGCTCGAGATAGAGCAAGCTTTGATTCCCGAGGGCGCGTTGGTGGTGGTGGTGGACGATGTGCCTGCCACAGGGAGGACACTTTGTGCGGTGCTGGACCTTTTGGTCGAAGCCGGCATACGTGCTAAGGACGTGAGCGTTATGGTTGTGGCGGAGTTCCCAGTTCACCGAGGCCGGGAGTTGTTGCGCCAGCGTGGTTTTAGTAATGTCAACATCCAAAGCCTTTTAATTTTTGATGGTGCTTAGAAGGGAGGAGCTTGAGATGTTGGGCTTTGATTGTACTTGGGTTGATGTTGTCTTCCATGGCTAGTATGTGTTTTGGTATGAGGCGGTGCGAGTTTGGAGATGCAGTGGTTCTGATGGATATTCGGCACGTGTCGAGGAAGTCACTTCAGGAAAGTGCTAGTGGTGTTTTTTTGTTTTTTTCTTTTCTTGCGATTACAGAATAAACAATGTACTTCCCAGCTCTTCAATCAAGAGACATGACATGGGACAAGTTTTCCTTTCGTTTCTGTAACTCCCAAATCAACAAGGTCAGTGTCCCGGAATGAAAGTACTGTAGCTCACATAGTACTGTACTCTCGACCAAATCAGCCAACCGTAGAAGCCAACCTTCGCTCTCCACCCCCCCAGACCCGAGAGACGAGGATGAAGTCGTTCGTGGGTCTGAAAAGCACGGACCTCATCATAGATCATCCTGCAGTCCACTACAGCAAGTACTGTACATGTGAGTTTGCTTCCACTGCATTGCATTGCAGCAACCACGCAACCTTCCCCATGCCTCTGCCCCTGCCCCTGCTCCTGCAAAACAACCAACACTCGCACTTCTCTCTCCCTTATCAATGATCATCAATCTCAACCCAAGCAAAGCTTGTTCCAGCATGAAAGCAAGCCACATGCCACCCTCGCAAGCCAGCATTCCGACCTGTCTGTCTGGCTGGCTGAACCCTGGCCCATCTCCTTCCACCTCAAGCAGCACAACACCCCCATGGGACATAGAAACACATCAACCCAATCATCCAAAATACAACAAAAAGAACCCAAATACCCCAAGTCCCTCAATCAACCAACTACCCCAAGTCCCCTCGAAAAGAAAACCCAAAGCACAACACCAACCCCAAGGGTTTCTCCCCCCCCTTCAAGAATGTAAGACACGTCACGTCCCATCCATATCATCCCTTCCACCACCACCACCACCACCACCACCCCTTTCTTCTACGAGTACTCCGTACACGCCCTTCAACGCGATACCCTTCAAGGATCGACACTCCGAAACATACCAAACCCAGCAGCACCAGCACCAGCACCAGCACCGTAGTATCTACAGCCCCAGTACGGAGTACATATGTACAGTCCACATCGCCCTCGTAGCCTTTCCCCCGTGTTTCCTCCCTCTCTTTCCCGTGAGCAACCACCGACAAACAACCTTCTCTCACAGGTACACCACCACCACCATACCAAGATTACCTTCTCTACTCCCGGAATCAAGAACTGACAATCATCACCAGCCTCCCGCCCCCCAAGTAAAAAATGAAATTCTCTATCGCGGTAGTTGCCTCCGTCCTCGTCGCCACGGGCCTGGCGATGCCGATTCCCGTGCGTTATATGCCCCCTAACACCCCACCCCCAACACTGCGATTGATCTACGAGCGCCAGGTCGCCCCTGAAGATACATCGTTAGAAAATGCTGGATACTGATACTAACACAACCCTATACCACTTCTAGTCCACGAGCAAGGCTCCCCGCATGGACGGGGCGGATCTGATCGGCATGATTCAGAGCATGGGGGGGCTGGACGGGGTGTTGAAGAGTATCCAGATTTCTTCGCCGTTGAACTCGGCATTGGGGCAATAAATTGCTGGATATCATTGATCGGGTGTATCGTTGGTGGGATGTCTGAGGAAGAGGGGTACCGAGCATGGGCATGGATGGGGATGAGTCAATGAATGAAGAATGAATCATAAACTGAAGTGCGAGCAGCAAAGTAGACATGTCATTCGTAAGGTTTGTTCAGGGAACTATTCGTGAGATAAGAATATGGTTCTTGTAAAAGTAGGCCGTCTCATACACACAGAGAATCAGTTTGCTTCGAGCCTGACCTCTGGTGTCAAAAAAAAGCACTCGTTTTAGTCATGCAATCATCAACCGAATTTCCATCGCTGTCGTGTCGAATCGTAAAGAGCGTGACGAGGTCGTATAACAACAAAAAGCAAGAGTCCAAATAACAACAAAAGAAGGAAGGGTATCAGTTTGTGTGTCATCCAAGAAGAGGGCCTTAATCTTCCATGTCCAAGTCGGTTACCTCCACGCGTGTAGCCAGCGCCTGGGTACCCTCGCGGATCAGCGCCTCGAGCTTCTTCTCCATCCTCCGCATGCTGGCATTCCCCTCGCGTTCCATGCGACGCATCTCCGCCATATGACGCTGCGTGTCCACAGACACTGGACTCTCTCGCGGCATGGCCGGCGAGGAAAAGTAGGGTTGACTCGGCAGCGACGGCGCATGCGACGTCAGCACCCGCTTGTTGTGGGGGCGGCCCCGACGTGAGGCGTGGTGGGCGGCGGTTGTCGCCCGGCGGGTTCCCCGCCGGGGAGTGGTGCTGCGATTGGTGGCGAGCGAGGACGACGGGCTGGACGACTTGCCGGCTGAAACCATCACCCAGCTGCGCTGTAGATCATCCTCGTCGGGATACTCGCCGGGGCGAGGGGTGGATGGTCCCCGCTGACGCTGACGCTGACGGAGGTGGGCGGTGGGAGTGGCCGGCAGGGATTCTTTCTCGCTGGCCGGGGAGGGGAACGAGGGCGAGAGAGCATCCTCCTCGCTGCTCATGTTGTATCCGCGACCGCCGCCGGCGTAGAACCCCCGAAACGCTCCGGACCAGCAGAAATCCCACACCTTTCCGACCACGCCTAGGACAGCCTTGCTCCAGCGGACGGGTGCGGCATCGGAGGGGTCCGGTGTGACGTTCGGAGGAATACCCTTTTCATCCGGGCCGGTGGGAGAGGCAGCGATCAGGGAAGGGTCCCGTCGACTGCGTTTGCGACGAAGACCGCCGGCCTCGCTGAGAGAGTCGATGCTGGCATCGAGAGGGAATGGATGGGCCGGCTCGCGATACCGGCTGGGTCGATAGTCGAGGTCGACGATACCATCGGCGCCGTGCGGGAGGTCGTCGGGGCCGATCAGCGACGGGACAGTAGGGCTAGAGGCGCCATCGATTTGCAGCCAAGAAGAGCGTTGGTCGAGGTTGGGACGAGCCCTCTTGCGAGGCGGGACGGCGATAGAGCGATACAGCGCCGATGAAGCTGACGGCGAGGGAGGGACTTGGAAGAGCTGCGAAGGCGCCCCGGCCAGATCGAGATGAGGAGGAATGGGCGAATCCAGAATGATCGAACTGGTGGGCATCCTTCTGGTGCAGCAATCACTTGAAGAGGATGTGCCGATCGAGATGAATCATAGAAAACTGAATCTGAGAGATAAAACAAAACAGAACAAAACAAAAGGGGTTGGTGATGTCGATGCAGATGCAGATGGGTGGAGTTGACGGGGAGAAGGGAAAGAGAGAGGAAGTGAGGAGGAAGAGGAAGAAGAAAGGAAGGAAAAAAGAACGGGGTAACGGAGGTGAAAGAAAGTCACCCCAACAATACAATACCTCATTTATCCCCATTTGGTGTTGATGCTTTCCGTTTACACCCCAACCTCCTCTTTACCTTGTTTTTCTACTTTCTTCATGACTTCCCGTTTAATCTCTCATTTACTGAACACATTACAAGAAAATCGAGGCAGTAAATACTACAGCTGACTCTTCCACTCTCTACCCGCAGCGCGCAAGCCATCCTCGCCATCGACCAAGACACACCAACCCTCCGAGCCTCGGCCTCCCGCGCCCACCACCGCCGCCGCAAAATGTCCCTCCAGATAGTCCAGCACCGCCTGGTCGTAAGTGCCAGGTTGCAGGAAGACAGCCGGGATGCCGACCGCATAAGCTTCGCGAAGGAGAGCGAGAGTCACGGCCGGGGGAGTCACCACCGACAGTGACGTCTCGGTCGGAGCGGGCAAGTCGCGCACCGAGGCGACCGTCGGTAGACTTGTCGAGTGCAGCTGGATGGAGGAAGCGCGCGGGTTGAGGGGCGTAACAGGGAGTGAATGGTGGTAGTACCACGCCAGAACTAACTGCGTCAGATATGGTTCTTATCGAGCAGGATCGAGCATACTGCGATGGCCGAATTTGGCCGGGTCGTTGCTCGCGCCGGCCACGGCGAAGCGCGGCGAGCTGAAGAACACTTTGACGGCTTCCATCGTAGCAGACATTGTGAATAGACCGTAGTTGGCAGAGTCTTCAGTACAGATTGAAATCAAGTTTCAAATACTTGGAGGGATAATCTGGTTGACGGTGCGAAGGTGAGATAAGAACAGTCTGGGGAAGAAGTGGAGAAAGAGGAAAGCCGATGAGGGGAAATCATTTCCTCATCGTTTCTGCTCGTCGCTCTTTGTTCCGCCTTCGTTACATCTACAACACAACTCGACACAACCACCATCCATTCAACTCCAATTTAACTCATACACTACACCCTTCTCTCCTCCGACCCATCCCTCCAAGTAATCCCGATCAATTGCGTGCATGCCCCCCTTCGTCTCGCGCAAGCGTGTCTCCGACGAGGATCCGCCCGCGCCCAAACGTCATAATGCGACGCCCGCCGTCGCCGCTGCCACCGTACTCGACGACACCGACTCCTCCTCCAGCGACTCGTCATTAAGCGACGTCCCTAACGACTTACAAGACACCCCAAACCCAGGTACCACCAATGAAGATTCAGACGAGGACAGCGAGTCCGAGGAGGAGGTCGATTGGGAGGATGCGTTCGAGTCCGGCACCGCCAGCGCCAGCGCCAGCGCCGGGGCCGCCACGCCACTGACACCCTCGATCCTCGCTCCTCACCACCACCACCAACACCAGGACCTCGAATTGACCCTCGACAAGAACGAAGTCCACCTGGCCGACATCGTCGAGGGCAAGAAGGCTCCCTCCAAGATCGAGCGCCAGATCCGCATCACCACCCACTGCCTGCACGTGCGCTTCCTGCTCTACCACAACGCTCTGCGCAACGCCTGGGCCAACGACCCGGAACTCCACGAGATCCTCCGGCGGAAACTCCCACCTGCCCTGCACAAGGAAGTCAAGAAATGGCGTGTCTCGTCGGGGTTGGAGCTGCCAGAGCAGAAGCCGCCGGAAAAGAAACCAACCCGCAAGGGCAAGGGCAAGGGCAAGCAAAAACAGAGTCGTCCGTCTGAGCGGGACTGGACCGAGGGCTCCGAGCGGTTGGAGGCAGGACAGCCCGACATGAGTCGCGGGGACCCGATCATCCCACTGCTCAAGGTGCTGGCCGCCTATTGGAAGAAGCAGTTCACGATCACGGCGCCGGGCCTCCGCAAGCAGGGGTACCGACCGATGGCGCAGCTGGAAGCGCAGATCGCCTCCCTCCGGAAAGACGAGCACGATCCCGCCGTCCACGGGGAGCGGATCGCGGACCTCGACGAGTTCCGCCAGGCGGCCGAGCGCATGCAGGGCTCGCGCGATCTGGGCGCGCAGCTCTTCACGGCGCTGCTCCGCGCCCTCGGCATCGAAGCCCGACTGGTGGCCAGCTTGCAACCGCTGGGGTTTGGTTGGACCAAAGCCGAGACCTACACCCCCAAGCAGCAACCGACCAAGCCCGCCGACACCGAGCCGACGACCGACGCATCGACTGCAGCGGCCGAGACGGACGAGGTCGTCGGCCTCGAATCCGACAGCAGCAGCGACGCCGAGACCAAACCGCCATCGCGCAGCAGCAACAGCAACCGCAACAGCAAGAACCCCAAGGGATACGACAAAGACCTCCCATTTCCGATCTACTGGACCGAAGCGGCCTCGCCGATCACGCACGAGATCATCCCGGTCGACGCGCTCGTCCTCCCCAACGCCGTGGCCACCACTCCAGAGCTACAAGCGGCCTTCGAACCGCGGGGCGCCAAAGCTGAGAAGGCCAAACAAGTGATCAGCTACGTGATCGCGTATTCCTCCGACAAGACGGCCAAAGACGTGACGACGCGGTACCTCCGACGACGGACCTGGCCCGGCAAAACCAAAGGCTTCCGCATCCCCGTTGAGAAGATCACCATCCAGCCGCAAAACAAAAACAAACGCAGCCGCGCCGCAGCCCCAACCGTAATCACCTACGACTGGTCGCGCGTCGTCCTGCGCATCTATGAACGCTCCCCGAAGCACGAGACAGCCCTCGACACCCTAGAAAACAGCACCACGCTCCTCCCCAACCAACCCGAACGCAAAAACCCCACCACTAGTGACAAACCCGCCGACACCCTCCAAAGCCTCCGCACCTCCCCCGAATTCGTGTTAGAGCGCTTCCTCCGCCGCGAAGAAGCCCTCCAACCGGGCGCCCAACACATCCGCACCTTCACGTCGGGCAAAGGCCCCAAAGCCAAAACGGAACTCGTCTACCGCCGCGCCGACGTCGTGAAATGCCAATCCGCGGAGAGCTGGCACAAGGAAGGCCGGCAGATCCTACCGGGCCAAGCCCCCCTGAAACACGTGCCCATCCGCGCCGTCACCCTGCTCCGCAAGCGCGAGGTGGACGAGTACGAGCGCGAGACCGGCCAGAAGCCCAAGCAGGGCCTGTACGCCAAGTACCAGACGGAGTATATCATCCCCCCGCCCATCGTCGACGGCGTCATCCCCAAGAACGACTACGGGAATATCGACTGCTTCGTCCCGAGCATGGTGCCCCGGGGCGCGTGTCATGTCCCCTGGCCGGGGACGGTGCGCATCTGCAAGAAGTTGGGCATCGATTACGCGGAGGCCGTTACGGGGTTCGAGTTCGGGTCCAAGATGGCGGTCCCCGTGATTCAGGGGGTGGTGGTCGCGGTGGAGAATGAGGACCTCGTTAAGGATGCGTGGCGCGTAGAGGAGGCGGAGAAACGGAAGAAGGAGGCCCGCAAGGCGGAGGCGAGGATCTTGCAGACCTGGCGCAAGTTTTTGTTTGGGTTGCGAATTGCCCAGCGCGTGCGGGAGGAGTATGGGGGTGGGGATGAGGGCGAGGAGGGCGATCTGGAGAGGGAGGAGAGGAATCCGTTCACGAGGCAGGTGGTGGGGGCTGCTGCGGGGGGGGCGGATGAGGGGGGTCTTGGGAGTGTCGGGGGGACGACACCGGGGTTTGAAGCTGGTGATGGTGGCGGGTTCTTACTCCCCGGCGAGGACGACGAGGCAGATCGCGGCGGAGGCTTCCTTCTCCCTGGCGAGGGCGAAGGCGACTCGTCAGACCGAGGCGGAGGCTTCCTCCTTCCCGACCAAGAAGGCGAAGTCGACGACGAAGACGACAACGACGACAACGACAACGAAAAGCTGATCATCGTCCATCAACGTCGCAAACGGGCTACCCCGCCTCTAGCTGTCGCTGCTGATACTGATGGTGACGACGACGATAGACCCGCGACTGCTCCCAGCGATAGCGACGAGGAGATGACCGGGACCGGCGCCGGCGCTGGCTCCGGTAAATCCCAAGCAGACGCCATCTCGCTCAGCTCTTCCAGCTCCGACGAGGAACTGTCCCCTCCTCCGGACGAGATTCCCGACTCGGAAGACGACGATGACGAGTTTGTTGCCGAGTATAAACCGCCGCCGACACGCAGACGCACGCGTGGTGGGGGTAGAGGCAGAGGTAGAGGCAGAGGTAGAGCGAGAGGGAAATGATGGCCTGCCTGCTTGCTTGCTTACAGCCCAGGCGCTTTTGGTATATCTTTTGATCAGTGGCGTTGGTGGATTGGAACCCTGAATCGGATCATGGAGAATAGACAGGTGGTGTATGGTGTACACTGGCCGGAAGTGAAATACGAAACATGTATTATATTATGATGTATGGGTCTGGTTTCTACTATCTATGTCATGGGTATAACTATCAATGTAAGCATGGCTCATGTACGGTCTATCACGCATCATCATCATAATCTTCGTCTGGAGGCCAACGGCGTCTGATCAAGGTACTCTCTCTCGAACTCATCCACATCTATGTCGGCACCACCCGAGCCGTCCAAGTCGAAGTCCCCGATCGGACTGATATGCACCGCCGGCGACGCGATAGGACTATGCGCGACGCGCGGCCGGGACTTGAACACACTGGCGTAGTCCGCTTCCTCGTTGAACAGTTCATCGCGCGGGGTGGAGGCCCGGCTGGGGGATGGTTGTTGTTTGCGAGGCGTCTCGAATTGGTTGACAGGGAACGAGGGTCGAGGTCGATGTGATCGGAATCGTTCCCGAGGCTTGGTGTGTGTAGGTGGGGGCACTAGAGACATCGATTTGCGGGTTCGCTCAACAAGGGTGAATCTATTGCTTGTGTTCGTGTCGGATTCGGGATCTTTCTCATCCAACGCGGAGCCATGATGGTCCTCTATCTGTGGTGGTGGGATATTCTCTTTCTTGGTCGTGTTAGGTTGCGCAGGTTGCTGTTGGGCGACAGGCGACGGTGTGCTGCTCTCTTCAGCAGGTGTGCTTTCCTCGGCCGGTGCGGAGGGAACAATGACAGGCATTTCGCGCAATTGTCTCGATTCGCTGACATGCCGACGATGTGTGGAAGGCCGACCATTGATGCGTGTGATGGCTTCTGTCATGGAGAACAGAAGGGCTCGGTCTTCGGCCTTCAAGGAGGCCCGTTCCACCGGCTCTCGGATGGCCCTGGAAATACTCGCCACGGTCAATGCTTGATGATCACGAAACACTACCGAGGGCTGTGTCTTCCGAAAGCTCGTCGAGTCTACGCGATTATGCTTCTGCATATCAGCGCTGTATTGACGCCAGCGCTGCACGCGGGCGCGCTGACGAACGACTCGTGACTCCAGGTCGACCAGCAGATCCGGCCTAGTGTTCGCGGTCAGGTCGTCGACGCTCGACTCCTTTGCTTTTGCCCAGGCGGACTCGAAGGAGAGATCCAGGAAGCTATCACTGGTGCTCTGTGCGCCCGAGTGAAGCAGTGTATCAACCCATTGCTCGCGGCCATGCCAATTGGCTCTGAGTTCGCCAGCCAACGCATCGAAGTCGACGTCATCACCAGATATCGGTGGCAGCTGCTCAGTCGAACGCTCATCCAGCTGGCGTTGTTTAAGGTCCAGCAGCTGAGAGAACTTCGCCTGTGCATCTCTCGCTTGATCGTAGTCGCTGACGATATGGTTCAGGGAGGCCCGGTGTGCAATGATTAAAGGCAGCATCAGCTGATACTCCTGGAGGGTGAGGCCCTGAGCCATTGACAGGTTGGCAGCCACATTCTGAAGCCTGGAATCCGATGAAGCAGCCAGCGTTTTCCGTAAGACAGCCGTGGAGAATGAGGCAAGGAGCTCGTCGAATTTCTCGCCTTTACAATCGTCCAGCATTGACTTCCGAAGGATTATTTCCCTGCCCAGGTCACCTTGCTTCTTTAACTCGAAGAGCACGCGGAACAAGGCGGCGCGCAGATTCACGGACTGCAGCGGCTCGACCGGAGGGAAGAAGGGGCGGAGTTTCTAGGCCATTGATCAGTCGGGGATGTTTGTTATGTGACAGGAGGGCGACGACGTACATCGCGCGCGGTGTCGGGATCCCAGATGGTGACCAGCTGGTAGAGCGCCCATTCGACGAGCTTGAGGCGCTGGCGCTGGTTCTGCGAGGTATCGGCCAGCGATCGGAGGGTGATGTTGGGCCAGTCACGGTGCGTATCCAGCTGGAGCAGCCGGAGGTTGCGGACAAACACGACGAGGGGCGGCGGGGGGGACCAGTTCGGGGCTTTGGGACGGGGCGTTCGGGCTTGCATGATGAATTACATCTGGGGATGTTAATTGCTGACAGTGAGAGAGTCAGAAGACAGACAACGTACCAGGGTACAGTGTAGAGGGCGAAGAAAGTCACTTGAGTGACGGAGGAGGAAGATAAGCGAGGAGCAGGTTGTCGGAGCCAACCCGGGAATATGAGGCGTCAACTAAAGTCAACAAAGAGCCCAAACGAGCAAATGGGTAGGTCTTGGCAGTGACCCCACGATCAGACCTGTCCAGCTCTGCTGCCACGACGGGGATAGCTTTATAGGGGTTGAATTGGAAGCATATTGACGCTGCAGTGAGATGAAGGCAGCGCAACTCAGCTCAGCTCAGCTCATTAGCAGGTTGTCTCCTCCCCGATCGGTGGACCATCCGAAGCCAAACCCAATCAGGTAAGCACCGCTTTTTCTCCCCGCGTTTGCGTTTCTCTTTCCTTTCTCGATCTTGCGATTTCCAATCCTTTTTCTTTTCTTCCCCACTTCCTCTTCTCCATCCTCCTTCCTCCTGGGTCTAATCCTATACTTATGACTATCGTTTTTCTCTCTGAAGGCTAAATCTGTATTGCGCATCCTTGATAGCACGGGCTGTGATCTTTGAAAGGCAGGGCCGTTATTCGTTGATCAAGACAATTCTCATAGGATGAATTCTATCAGATGAGGCAGACCTACCTGCTCACTGTGTTATGTACACCGGGACATGCTAGGTAGGTACTGGGTAGTGTTTCACTAACCTCAGCCAATCACGGAATCTCTTGATAGGTGCCGCCGAGGCAGGAGCTATAAGGGACCGAGCCATTGTACAGCACTCGAACCCCTTTGGACGCGGTATTCACATCTCGTAGACAGGGTTCCCCGCTCGACTTTCACATCGTTAGTTTGGCCGGCGGCTATGTTGGCTGGCGACTCACCCCCAAGTTGCAGCTCTGTTTGGTCCGGCTCTGGCCAGCCATATCAGCCTCTGTCCCCTGGCGCAACTGAGAGCCAGAAGCCTAGCAGCGAGTAACTGCAGTGGCCCTCATCTAAAGATTTATGACGACTCAAAGTTGGAAGATCTTCATTTGTTTAGTGCTTATGCTTAGTTGGAAACAAGCACTCCTCCACTTGTACATCTGAGTTACACGCTCAAATTACTTGGCTAGTCTATGGAAACACCGCAATACTTAAGGCCCAATGCAGCCCTGAAGACGACCAACTTATTTCTTATTATCCTTATATCTTGTCTCCATCTTACTTGCACGCTATCTTCGAGCTTTGTTTGCAATGTCATCGATACGTCGGAACTTCTCGACTACAGCTCGCGCTCCTTGAATTCATATGAAAGGGGACGGGCTCTAACTCCCAATACGAGGATCGTATTAAAGCGAAACTTGCCAAGAACCCGAAACTAGTCGATGAGGATAAGGTGGAAATTGCGTATGTCTCTCGGAGAGTGTCACAGCGTTACTAAATCCGCCGAGTACTAACTAATGAATCTCAGTGGTGAAGAACATACCTCGCCAGCAGACCCTAAGCCTCGCGTGTCGGGGCAAGTGTTCAAAGACAACCGCCGACTTACATCTCTCCACGCATATCACAATGGAACGATCATATACTCCAAGGACAGTATCAACAAAGCCCAAGAAGACTAAGCTGCAAATGCGAAGTGACAACAATCTGTATACCTCGGGATGATAGGGTGGTGATGCGGGCTTGTATAGTGCTGCAGGGAATCAGGCCGACTGTGGACAGGATCATTTGATGTATAATTGACCCAGCCATAGAGTGAAGATGGATCTCGAAGGAGGCAAAGAAGCCTTATCATGAAGTGTGCTGTGACATTCTTATACAACAGATTGTTTATGTCCATAGATGTGGAAGAATGGATATGTAGCAGTTTCCCATTCGTCGTTGTCAATGGTAATTCTCTTTCTGTGCAGATGTTGATGGTGAAATTAGGACCGAGTCAAAAAGAACACCGTACTAGCATGCTGCTATCAGACATGCCCAACAGACTTTGTTCAAAGCATGGGCACTATGCCCCTGTATGCTGTAGTGCTTTTTGCCGCGGTTTTGACCTGAGCTCCCTAGAGATTGGAACCCGCATGGTTTTTTTTAGCGCCGTCCCACTTGCGGCGCGAGCCTACGGGATCATCCCAGCTACGTACGTAGCCAGATTCGAGGCTCGAAATTCGGACTACCAACAAATGGGACATTCGCTTACAGTTTTGTGCAAACTCTTAATGCCACAAAGCCCGCAATACCACGGACGGCGGCTGTATAGCAAGTTTGCGAGGCGCGTTTCGAAACTCCGCTAGGAGGACTTTTTATACTCAGCACGCACTCCAGAATTGAGTATTCACGCCTCAGCCTAATATCGAAGCCTTGTTTGCCCAATACCCCAAACATATTATGTGACACTAAGATTAACGACCGCTTGAACCGGCTATTGTTGAAGCACCACCTATACCATCTATCTCGCTACAAATAACTGAAAATGCATAGATAGATAGATAGATAGATAAATAAACGGAGCACGTGGATAATGAGAGCAGAAAACTATATCATCGTAGAATTAACATGTGCAGTTCTTTAAATGAGACATCTTCGAGTGTCTTGTCAAGCCGTCAAGTCGGAGTATCTCTTGCGGCACCCAAACCACACTTGAATACGTGCATTCATGGCGGCAAATTGCTTCTTGTTGAGGCCTCTGGGAGGTGGAGAAGGCTTGTTGATTCCTCTACGTGAGGCTATCGGAGAACTAGCTAAGGCAGCCGGGTGGGCGGTGAGCTGGCACCTCAGGCACCAAGGCCCAGGGCCGCCGTCACATGTGACAGGCGGTGATAGCGGGCAGAACAGCGTTTCTGGCGCCCTGCTAACCGTCACAAAGAATCCCCCTCCAGATAATATTCACCTACCCTTAAACTCCCTCTCCAAGCAAACCACTCATCCCCGCTCTCAAAATGGGTTCCGAAACCCCCACCAACGCCCTCTGGACCACCCAGTCCGGTAAGTTTCAGGCATAAAATAAACAACACCACCACCACTACCACCACCACCACCACCACGCTCAAAACAAAACGAACTCAAACTAAGTGAACCGCAAACAGTCCTCGCAACCCTCCCCCACCCGCCCGAAGAAAACGCCCGCACGCCGATCCCGTTCTTCCACCTCCTGGAGCGCCTGAAGACGACCAAGCGCGAGGGCTGGCGCCGGTTCGGCATTAACTCCGGCGAATCGATCTCGGACCACATGTACCGGATGTCGATCATGACGATGCTGGCGCCCGCGACGCTGGCGCCGCGGCTGAACCTGGCGCACTGCATGAAGATGGCGCTGATCCACGACATGGCCGAGTCGCTGGTGGGGGACATCACGCCGGTGGACAAGGTGGACAAGACGGAGAAGGCGCGGCGCGAGGCGGACGTGATGGACTACATCGCCGGCACGCTGCTGGCCGGGGTGCCGGGCACCGGTCCCGCCACGGGGCAGGAGATCCTGGCCGTGTTCCACGAGTACGAGGCCAACGAGACGCTGGAGGCGCAGTTCGTGCACGACGTCGACAAGATGGAGCTGCTGCTGCAAATGGTCGAGTACGAGCGCGCCAGCGGCGTGGACCTGACGGAGTTCTGCCATGTGGCGGGCCGGATCCAGCTGCCCGAGGTGAAGGAGTGGGCGGCGACGGTGATGCAGGAGCGGGAGGCGTTCTGGGCGGGGAAGAAGGCTGCCGCTAGTGCCGCTGCCACTACTGCCAACGGGTCGTCGGCGGCGTGAAGCGAAAATGATGGTGCAATGACATATTCTCCGGCGTTGTTGTTTTGGCAGGGGGGCGTTAGGAACCGCGATCACGATGGGAAAGCATGAACCATGAACCATGAAATCCGGATAGAGATTCGTTACCGTTGAAGTTTATAGACTAGCATGAATGAAGAATCGATCATAGCCTCTACTACAGCAGTGTACATACTGCACTCTCTATAACACAGGATATTGTATATACAACCCCCCTCCCCTCGCAGAGGGGGAAAATCACTCCTCCTTCTCCTTCGCCATCTCCCCCATCAAAAACCTCGCCTCAGCTTCCATCTCCTCCAAACTCCTAGGATGTCTATCCTCATCATCCACCTTGGGAAACTTCCTCCTCCTTTCACCATTCTCCCCTTTCTCCAACTTCCCCTCCAGAATCCGATTCAAATCCCCCTCCTCCCCCTCCAACAACTCATAAACAGCATCCACGCCGCCCCTGGCCTCCAGATCCCGGGCTCGCCTCGGGATCACATGCGCATGCACATGGGGCACGCTCTGGCCGGCGTCCACGCCATCCTGGATGGCGATGTTGAGGCTCGAGGCGCCGTAGACGCGCTCGACCATGCGGGCGACGCGGCGGACGGTCAAGAACAGATCGGAGGTCTCGGTGGGCGTGAGGTCGGCGACGCGGGGCACGACGCGGCGCGGCGAGATGAGGACGTGGCCCGGGAGGATGGGCTTGAGGTTGACGAGGGCGTAGGAGTAGCGCGTCAGGTGGAAGACCTGGGTGGTGACGGGGAAGGGGCCGAAGTGGATGGGGCTCGCTTTGAGGATCGCGGTGGACATTTTGGTTGCTATTGCGGATGCTGCTGCTGCTGCTGCTGCTGTTGCTGTTGCTGACGCTGGGGTTGGCGGGGGCATTGTTGGTTGTGGTTGTGGTTCTGGTTGTGGTGCGGTGGTAGTGGTGGAGGTGGGGGATGGGTTAGGTGGGGGATCGATTGGCATTGGGTTTATAGTCTGTTTGATTTGAGAAAGTCTGGTAGGGAGAGAGGGTGGTAGGTATGTAGAGCTAGTAGATGTTGATGTTGATTGAAGAATCACGGCGCAGGGTTAACGTAGGAACAACTCAGTGGAGACCGATCGTCATAGCTCTGACTAGCTAAAAAAAAAAACAGCTCCGTCGCCGGACTTAGCCGGAGTTTACACCACCTTTACCTATACTTCGACTCTACTCGCCGGACTCAGCAAATACAACACCATTAGGGTATCATTAATTCTTGCTCGAATTCGTATATTACATCGCTTTCCCACCTCCCTCGGATCCAAAATGGCACAAATTACAAACCGTGGTATAGACACAAGGCATCACATAAAATCGGAAACAAGCGCGCTGCCGTACTTTACTCCTTCTGCGTCGGCTCAGCCTCCGTGGTCTCAGTAGATGACTCTTCAGCTGCTGTCGGTTCCTCTGTCGAGTGTTCCTCCGTTGAAGCTTCTTCCGCGCCATGCTTTGCCTCTGCTTCGGCCTCCTTCGGCTGCTCCTCCTCCGCAGCTTCCTCCGCGGCTTCCCCCGCAGCTTCAGCGTTCTTCTCGGCCTTGCTCTCGGGCTCGGGCTCGGGCTCAGTGTCGGTCTCGGTTTGTGGTGCGGGCTCCGGTTCCTCCGCGTGTACCTCTGCAACAGTCACCTGCGATGCAGGGCTACCGGGTGACGTTTGCTCAGCAGCCTGCTTGGGCTCTTCAGTAGCCTGCAGTGCCGATTGCGGCTTGCTCTGGCCACCGGCAGCAGCGGCAGCGGCGGCCACTGCAGCAGTAGCGGCGGCCACAGCCTGCTGCTTCGGCTGCTCATCATCCTCAGCGCTTTCATTGATGGTCGTCACCCCGGAGCTGATCGACGAGCTACCCTTGTGGCGCCTCGTGGTGGCGCCCGTGCTGATCGACACGGGCTCCATACTGACAGGGAACGGCTCGTTCTCCTTCCGCAAGATCGTCACCCTCCGTCCATCCCCATGCTCCAACCCCGTCGTCGCCCCCGCCGCTGCCGCTGCCGCCGGCTGCTGCTGCTGCTGAACAGTATCCAACCCCTCCGCCTCGGCCGGCACCGTGTAATTATCCTCTGGAATCAGACTGTACATGTCACAGACGGTCTTGAAGAAGATATAGAGTCCATCGTGACCCTCGACCTGCCAGAACACCTCCCGGTGCTGAAACCACGCATGCGCGAAGATGCGATACAGCCGGCGGAAGATGTTCGTCAGGTGCCGCATGCTCGCCTGGGCGCCGCCGCCGCCCTCCGCGCCCAGCGTCAGGCGACTGGGGAAGTATTTGGGCGAGGTGAGGATGTTGGTCGCCCAGTCGAGGGTGTGGCAGCAGTAGTCGATGGCGCAGCAGGCCTTGGGCGGATCGTGGACGGCGCAGAGGTACTGCCACTCGGAGGCCCGCATTTCCGGGCAGGTCTGCGCGGAGCAAGGGGGGGAGTCGGCGAAGAAGGCGACGATGAGGTTGTTGACTTTCATCGTCAGGAAGCGGCAGAGTTCGTACAGCCAGAGTGAGCGGTCGACGCCCTCCGGGGGCTCCGCCAGCTGGATCGCAACATCGCGGCTGATGGGAATAATGGTATCGGAGCCCTCGGGTCGCGTGAAGTGGTTATACAGGGCCTTGAGGTGTTCCTGAAGTTGGAAGGGGGAGTCGAGCTAGGCAAAGGGAGGCTGGGGGTCAGCAGGAGGGAACATAAGCAGTCTCGCGACCAAGCCCGGGTTGCAAAACTCATTCCATACCTGTGAAAGAGGAATCAACGGCGGACCAAAGGCCATATCGATGGCTCTAGTGCCCGGGCGGATGCGGCGAGTTGAACCATCCTCGGCGGTTTGCGAAGCGCCCAGCAATTGCTCAGTCTCGGAGTCGAAAGACTCGCCGACCGAGGGTGATTTGGGCCCGATCTGCACCTCAGTGAACGGGGGCGGGCTGGGTAAACGTGGGGAGCTGGCTTGCGAAACTCCCGCAGTAGCCATGACGGGTCAGAAAGAGAAAGGAGTGAAATTGAAAAAGACTAGTCTGGGAATGAGAAGGAATGAAGTTTTTTTAGAAAGAAAGCGAATGAGGGAGTAGTATTCCAGCCAGCTGGGGGGGGAGAGGGAGAGGGAAGAAGATTAGGTAGACGAGACGACGACAGCGCTGCAAGGTCCGACGGGGGTCGATAAACAAGCCGCTAAGAGTTAGTAGATAAGATGCCGCGCGGGAAAGAAAGTTCCAGCCGCCGTTCGGTCATCACCGCCCAATAGACCGCCTTGTGCCCTAAGCCCTAGGGCCCTGCCTCATGGGGGAAAACGTCATTCCCGGAGCCATTCATCCCCGGCTTTTCTTCTACTACTACTGCTACTACTACTACTACTACTACTACTACTACTACTACTACTACTATTACTACTACATATATACATACTGTATCTGAGTCCATTTCTCATACCTCCGCAAAGACCAACACCTACAACAACACCTACAACCCCTCAACATGGACGACGAAGACGCCCCTCCCCAGTTGGTGGATGTATCCCAGCTGCCAGAGTCCGCGCCATCGACGTCAGAGGACACCCCGGAGGCTCAAGCCCGCGTGCCCATCACGCTTGTGACTGGTATGATGCGCGCGCCGCAATCCGTTATGCACCTCTACTTTCCTAGAGTAGTAGGAACAAACGCCAAGATAGAGACCCGTAGATTCTGATTCTTGTGTCATCAAATCATCAAGGCTACCTCGGAGCCGGCAAAACCACCCTCCTGAACTACATCCTTACCGAGAAGCATGGCAAGAAGATCGCCGTGATCATGAATGGTCAGTTCTGTCTGTTAGCTCTTAGCGTTGGATGGTCTGGGGGTAATATACTAAGATCAAGTAGAATTCGGAGATTGTAAGTGTTAAGATCTTCATCTTGAAGGGATCATGTCCTACATCAGCCCTGTTGCGGGGGACTTTGGCATTTTTGGCCGGTACTCACCCAAAGCGATAAAACAGCAACCGACATCGAAAAGCCCCTCACAGTCAACCAAGACGGTGAAGAGGTGACCGAATGGATGGAAGTGGGGAATGGCTGCATCTGCTGCTCAGTAAAGTGAACATCCCTCCCCATCCATCCCCACCCAAACAAAGACATTAACCCCAAAAAAAGAGACTCGGGCGTGATGGCCATCGAATCCCTCATGGCCCGCCGGGGCACCTTCGACTACATCCTGCTGGAGACCACCGGCCTCGCCGACCCCGGCAACATCGCCCCGATCTTCTGGGTCGACGACAACCTAGGCAGCAGCATCTACCTCGACGGGATCGTCACCCTCGTCGACGCGAAGAACATTCTACATCTACTCGACGAGCCGACCCCGGAGGAGACGGTGTCCAGCCACACCACCACCGCCACCGCCACCAGTCAAAAACACGACGACGACCACCACCACCACCCCGCCAACACCCCCATCCTCTCAATGGCGCACATGCAAATCTCCCACGCGGACGTGATCATCCTCAACAAAGCCGACCTGGTCACGAGCCAGGAACTCGCGCGCGTGCGCGACCGCATCGTCGCCATCAACAGCGCCGCCCGCATCCACGTCACGGACCACAGCCAGACGCCGCGGATCGAGGGCGTGGTGCTGGATCTGCACGCGTACGACCACCTCGACGACGCGGCGGTCGATTTCGCGCAGAAGGGGCACAGTCATATCGATCCGGTCAGTTTGGACCCCCACCCCCGTCTTCCTTTGCCCTCAAACTATTTGATGAAAAGAGAACAAAAAGGAATGAACTGACTTTATTTCTGACGGCGTCGTTCCATGGTGAAAAGGCAATTTCCACCATCGCGCTTACAACCCCCCGGATCACCCCGGCGCAAGTACCCCTCGTCGATGAGTGGCTGCGCTCGGTTCTGTGGGACTCGAAGCTCCCGGGGATCGCTGGGCGAGAAGCGCCAGCCACCAAGATGGACTTTGATATTCATCGGTTGAAGGGCATCCTTGCGATCGAGGATGGAACGACCCGGATCATCCAGGCCGTGCGGGACGTGTTTGAGATCCGGGATGCCGAGCCTGCGGCGGACTCCAAGACGCAGTGCAAGATTGTGCTGATCGGGCGGGGACTCGGGGCGGATGCGCTTCCATGGCAGCGCAATTTCGAGGAATATCTTAAGCGGGATCGGAAATGAGGGCAGTGATGGAGATGATTAGGTCATGATGTGATGCCTGTGAGACCAGCTTCGGATAACCAGAATTCGTGTCGAATGTGAGCACTGGCTAGACGCATTGGGAAAAGCTCAGGACTCAAGTCCAGAAGAACAGATGAGGGAATGATACCACGAAACCTAAGAAAGAACCACACCACTAAATTCATTTTCGAAATAATACAGTTGTTACTAGAAGGTTACGGACAACCACTGTACATAAACGGTCTCAACTGGCGCGGAGAAAGTAAACCCAAAATCATAGTCAGCCGTCTGGTCGTTAGTCATGAAAAGAAATGGAAAGACGAAACACCAAACGCCACCCAAGATTCTGAAGCTGCTGGAAAGTTCTGTCGTATCTGGTAGAGAAGTATCTCATGATGAAAAGAGAAGCCGGGCGAATTCAAAGAATGTCCACCGATCAAGCGGTATAGAAACCAACAAATCAGGCTAGCCGAGAATAACATGGCAACTCCATTGCGCCATGTGCACGCTGAAAAGAGAAAAAAAAAAGAGCAAATATCGAAAGATCGCTTTGAATCAAGGTAAATGTACAGTGCAAAATCGCTAGGGGTATCGCGCACTGTTGGGTCTCACGTCTGAGACTCACAAACATGACTGGAAACAACTCCTGTCTTTCCTGTGAAGGACTTTTCTAGATGCAATTCGCCGGTTACGTCTCATACACACGCCGATGTCTCTTCGAGTGCTGGGTTGATCGGTAAATGAGAGTCACATAAGTAATTGGTGGGTTCATGTAGGCTCTGGCGAGGGGCATATCCCAGGGCGGAACGAATGCTGATGGGGGAATATTGGTCAGTCTCAGCATCCAACTTCTTCGCCTCGCGGGAGCTGATCGCGGGGTTGATAGGTAGAATCGAATGCATGAGAGAAGAGACTGAACGCGACGATTCTTGTACGGACCAGTCTGGGTCGTCCATGAGAGCATGTCCGAGATCTGCCAATGGGGCCGGATACAGATCAGTCGACTGCGTGGCGGCCGACGAGATCGGAGATTCCTGCAGCCTCCCGTTCTCAGACAAGGTGTTTACTGAATGAGGCTTCAGCGAGTAGGCCGAGGTACAATCAACCTCATCGAGTTCACGAAACAGGTGAGCCGTATTCGAAGGCACATCATCCGCATGGTCTATAGCGAACTTGCGATAGCATCCGTCAATTCCTGGATCGAAGCCCAAGTCGTTCTCATCGAGTCCTCGAAGAGTGGTACCATACGACTCTTGGCCGTTCTCGAAGGTCGGTGGGTTCAAAACCCCTGCTGCAGTTGACCCCGAATATGCATATCCACTTGACCTCCGATGCTCTAACGGTGCTGGGCTACTCTCAGCAGCCACGTCCTCGTGTAGAAAAGACTGCTCCCAATTTCTATGCTCGGCGTCCTGCTCGCTACCAGGAGAAGGGCCAAACCGGTCGCTTGCATTCTGCAAATTCGTGCGACCGTCAGAGATATAGCTGCCGCTATCCATCGAGGGACGCTGTTGAGAGAGAAATGTCGTTCGGACGTCGTACATCGGCAGAGTGCTATTGTGCAACGCTACACCAAGACCAGTGTGAGTGGGAGGCATACGGGAAACAGTCGCGGCCATCGCTCCTCGCTCGCGTGGAAATAGTCCCAGCAGTTCTTTTGCTGATAGTCGATGTCGAGGAACGGGGCTCAGACAGATCGAGACTAGCCTGCGGTAGTAGTCAGGCACATTCACATCTTCGCCTAGCATTAGGGGCCGTGGCTGACGCTCCGGCTCATCCTCCTCCATGGCCAAGGCCCATAGAGTCATTCCCAACTGGAAGATATCGGTCTTTACCCCAATATACATGGATATTCGCTGATTACTCTCGATCTTGGCGGCGATCTCGGGGGGCTCCCACCCCACTGGGCAACCCCGGCGATTGATATCAATGATCTTGGCGTTGTCGTCAGCGTCCACCACAATGTTTGACAAGGTGAAGTCCCCCTGCACGTAGCCAGCTTCATGAATCTCGCAAAGTCCACGGACAATCTGTCGTGCCCAGCGCTCCCGGCGTTCCCATGATATCGTACCCCGGTTCTCATATAAAAGGTCAACCAACGCACCCTTCTCGGCGAAGCCAATCAGCAGTCCTTTTACAGTCTCTCCGTCATCATCAACCACGACTCCCTCCACCTGGACAACATCTAGGATTCCCTGCAAGGCATGAAGGGCGTTGATCTCGTACAGAAATTCGTCTACCGTGTCGGGGCCAGGGATCTCCTTTTTGATGAATGTCTTGCCATCCAGCTGCACATTGTATACGAATCCCGACAAATGTGACTCGAAATGCAATTGGTTTTCGCGAACTAGCCGTGCTTCTGGTAAGTGCCCAATACAAGAAACTGGCGGGTAGGGTATTATCTCGTTGACATCCTCGGTGACGTGCACATGCAGCCGACCGTCTCGAGTTTCCAATTTCAGGTTGGTAACTGTGTCATAGAATTGTATCTCTGGCAATGATTCGCGGAGAGATTCGTAGATACGTGCACACTTGTCGCGTTGGTAGTGTAGCTCTCGGAGGTCCTGCTCCAGGGAATCGAGCGGCGCACCGCGATAGTCGCAAGATATGGTGACTCTCCGCCAACGGTTGGGCGTCTCTGCATAAGTGACGAAAAACTTTTCTCGCTCGGAGCGATCCCGAAAGTGCATGCTCAAATTCAAAATCCAACGCTTTTCCAGCTCCATCTCGAGAGTCTCGGTTGGTGGCTCCTCGGGAACATCGGTCATGTCAGGGTAGGGGTTCCATTCCGAGCGGATCTCATTATCCTCATTCGTCTCGCTCGGGGGGTCAACCGTGGGCTCGTTCGGGTCTTCGCGCCACTGAACCTCGGGAGCGGACAATCTGGGGTCCAGGGTGGGCGGTGGGGATCGAGTAGTTCGCTGGGACTGAGAACTCAGGGGACGACGTCGGTCGACGGACACTGTCCGACGGGGTTCAAGTTCAGTTGGGGAC